TGCTGACCGAGCACAACTGCTTCAGGAAGTAGTACTTGCATGGATCAAAGCTGAACCGACGACAAAGTACCATCATTGTGGATGCGATAAGCTTAATCATCCGAAACAGTATTCTGATGACTGTACTCCCAGACCTAGCGTAGTATCTCGGGAGTATTATTTGGTGGCGCTATCTAAACGGCCTTCAGATAGCCGACGGAGAGGCTCAGATGCCATGACAACCACCACTTTGCGTGCTTTGGCGGCGCGGTGACAAGCCCGCCGCGTGAATTGCATCATCTACGCCCTGCCTCGAGTGACTTCTGGATCATCCAAAAAAACGCGGATTTCACTTTATTAAACGATTACAATCTTTATTGGTTATCATATTGGTTTATGAGTATTAAACGGTAGGCAGCGGCTTGGCTCTGCCCCCAGCATTCCTGACGTCCATGAGCGACGGTACCCACTCACCATCAAATGGACTGTATACGCGTCTGCCTACACGAGCAATAAAATATAAATAAATAATCGGTAACGTACCTACATGTTTGCAAATGAAATTGGTTTGTCTGCAGGATTTAAGTTCCGACATGATCTCACTCCTCCGACTCTTACTCGTTAGATCGCTACTCTTACTGATAATTCCAACTCTTTGTACAAAGGGGATTGCCCACTCTCCATAGTGTGCTAGGCCCAAGGTGGACATTAAATATTACTATAAAAATGAACTGATTCAAATTCTTAAATGTATTAGATATCTAAAAAATATATTGAAATTGACGCCACTATTATAAAAAATATAATAAAAATAAAAAACTCGTTTTGAGGTTAATTTTCTATATAAATACCTCAAGAACTTTTCTTTTTATAATGTTTAAGATGTTCCTAATGTATTTTTATCCAATTGTAGTTATTAGGGTATAAAAAACACACATACTTCTTTAAATATCTATATTATTCTATATTTTCTTCATCTTCATACACAATTAGTAAATCATCTAAAAATAGCACAGGAGAGCATATACACGGTTTTAAATCTCGGTCAGGTTAAAACCACAATTCACACAATGGTTTTCAGCCGTAGTATGAAACGTTATTGATAAAAGCAAAATAAATCGAAGAAAAATCAAAACACATCCATTTTGAACGCAAGCACAAGCAGCAAGCGAAGTGTCAGTCAGTCAGATTAAAATCAGTGTTGTCAGTATAAAGAAAAATAATTACATGAAATTCATATATCGATCATTTTTTTAAATAACCGATATTGGATTTATTTCTTAATCTTTTTTTTACGAGTACACATTATATTTTATTTTTTATGTTTTTGTTTTAGTTGTACATATTTAAATAACAATACAAGTTAAGTTTTTTTTTATTGCTTAGATGGGTGGACGATCTCACAGCCACCCTGGTGTTAAGTGGTTACTGGAGCCCACAAACATCCACAACGTAAATGCGCCACCCACCTTGAGATATAAGTTCTAAGGTCTCAAGTATAGTAACAAGTTAAAGTCCAATGGGTATGTCTTTGATGTTATTTTATGTGCTTAAAATCGATTAAAATCGATTGATTAATGATAATATTTAAAATGATTTATTTATATGTTTTTTTATATACTTAAAATGTTTACTTAATACGTAAAAGGTTTTGAAGTTGGCAATATTTTTCCCGCAAAAATAAAATTCTTGTTTTTTTCAATAGAGTTACTTTTTTTAAACTACTTATTGTAAACTGTAGTGGCGCTTATTTGGAAGAAAGTAAATGCATATTTATTTATGACAAAATTAATGCACTAAGTATTTTTTCTCTAATCTATTGTCCGCTTTGGGCCTGAAATGGGCCGTCCCCTTTCATAAGCCGAATGAGCATAGCTGATGTATAATCACAATATCTACAACTATAATGAATACAAACTGAAAAAACAAGATCACTAAACCAACCACCAAACTGAGTTACTAATTCACTTCTGTTTCAAACCAAGCAAACGCAAATCAAAATCGTGCTCCGCCCGCTGTTACTGGGCTCACTCCTGTGAAATTACATTATCGTTTGGCGAGCGGCGAAGGGCTACACGCGCATTATGCAAAATGCAAATTGTCGTAGAAATTATAACACAATCATATCTTCTTGATTGTTGGCGCCATCGTCCGACTCATTGGTACTGATGCAACTTGCACTGATTTTACGTAACATAATTTCAGTAAAAATTAGCATAAAAACAAATGTAAAACTTCTGAAAGCTTAAACAAATTACATATTACATGATTTTCGGAATGCTTACATTTACGGCTTACAGAATTTGTTGCTAATAAACAACCACACAGAAACATGAACGCACTGTGTCGTGTGTGTGTGTGTGTGGCCTGAGCCAGGAGGGAACTTCGCAACTAAATGTGGGATGGTTTAACGACAATGGGAAGATCTTCCACCGAGCGAGTGATATTGTTCGGTAGACCGACGACGGTCCGAATGTTGTTGTTCGGAACATTATATACTTATATATGCACGCTTATGTTGAAAATATCGTAGGCGAGATTCAGGCATCTGTCAATTATCTTGTATTGTGTGATGGCTACTCGCCACATAAACATGGCTTAAATAGGTATGACGTTAAAAATAATCTGAAGTCTTGGCTCTTAAACTTAGACTATTTTGAAACAGAACAAGTCGTGTTGTAAAAATGTATAATGATGTATATATATTATATAGTATGATATACTGTTGATTTACTGTAGCTAATTTTAAATTAATATTTTATATAATAATATGTAATATAATATATAATAATATTTTTATACTTTATTGTGTGACACACATACACACACACAAACACACATACACTCACACACACACACACGTACGTACTATATTCTTACAGATCGTTCTTCCTGGTTGACTTTCTTTACCTGGTGACCTAGCACTGAACCACTGACTTTTGTAACACAGGTTTTCCTAGCATAAAAGTCAGGGAATATTGTTATTGTATACCTCATAAAAAAGCCATGTATATTATTATACTAGTGTTAAGTATTTTTGTACGTGTTTGTATTTTAAGAGGCTTGAATGAATAAATATTATTATTATTATTATTATTATTNACTTTCTTTACCTGGTGACCTAGCACTGAACCACTGACTTTTGTAACACAGGTTTTCCTAGCATAAAAGTCAGGGAATATTGTTATTGTATACCTCATAAAAAAGCCATGTATATTATTATACTAGTGTTAAGTATTTTTGTACGTGTTTGTATTTTAAGAGGCTTGAATGAATAAATATTATTATTATTATTATTATTATTATTGTCTAAGTGAGTATAATCTTACTTTTTTTCCCTACCTATTCGTTGGTATCGTAAGGGATTATTTCAGCTGCGCTCTGGCTAGTAGGTGAGCTCACGCGGTTCTACCCCGTTGATATTTCTAGCACTAGCCCTAGCAAGAGCAGTGCTTCGCTGAATCTACCACCGGATCGGAAGATCCGGTGATCTATGGGTTCGTTCTCCCGTCGAACTCTTCGTCGTAATCGACGAGTTCAACCAAGGCGGTGATAGAAGAGCCTAAAATCACTGACATCCGGTGATCTGATAAGACATGTTTCGGGCGCCGGCGGTAATGCGTTGCCCTGTCGCCTGAGTCAGATATGATTTTCCTTTATCCGGTTACTACTCGTACAGCCGCACTGCATTATTCTTGTCCCAAAGAATCAATAGGTTTTAAATATCCATCGCATTGTCCATTAAATCGGAACACAGGATAGCTTCGCGGGAAAAACAGACCGGGCGTGGTAACAAGGCGTCTCTGAAGTTACTTGCGAATGAAGAAGATGGAACCATCAAAACATGAACTTGCCCTTGCCATTGGCAATAAGTTCGTAGTGGAGCAACGACCCGAGCGGAAACACAATTATCACCGAGATACCGACGGGTTCCGATGATGTGCAGTATTCAAATTAATTAAAAGTATTTAAATCATTAATGTCTAATGATGGAAAGAACAACTATAAGTTAGTCATCTCGTCGGGCTGACAACTGTACCAAGGGATCAGAGTCCAATTCTCAATAGAAGTCGCAATCTTTGAATCATATACGAGTATGTATTTGGCGTTAGCGGCGCCGCGAATACTTGTTCTTGCTTTGAACATTACTGTGGGTTATGGATACCTAGTAAAAGAGAAGATTTTAGCTCGAGGCTGTTAGATGTCAAACATTTATTTGTGTATAAAGCAGCTCGGTCGTATTTCGCTATGATTATCGCTAATTGTACAAAAAATATAGATTTATTGAATATACTCGTGCGCCATCTACGGGCCGTTGATGGAACTACGACTATTCTAGTCCACGCGGACGAAGTCGCGGGCAAAAGTTAGTCATTCATATTTCTGGTAAAAACAAGCGGCCTGGTCGATGGAACTCCTCTTTATAATTGTATACTAGTTGTATATATTTTTTTTTATTGCTTAGATGATTGTACGAGCTCACAGCCCACTTGGTGTTAAGTGGTTACTGGAGCCCATAGACATCTACAACGTAAATGCGCCACCCACCTTGAGATATAAGTTCTAAGGTCTCAAGTATAGTTACAACGGCAGCCTCACCCTTCAAACCGAAACGTATTACTACTTCACGGTAGAAATAGGCAGGGTGGTGATACCTACCCGCACGGACTCACAAGAGGTCCTACCACCAGTAATTAATAATTATGCAAATAATAAATAAAAATAGTCATTTTTCAGACACGAAAAAAACCGTACACATTTTCGAGATACACAGCATCGGTCGGGACTCGGGAGGCTGCGGAGTGTCGCTATCTGCTGTACCGCGTGGCTCATCGCAATGCTTTGTATCGGTCGCGCACCGTCTATTAATTGAACACTCACGTGGTAGGCACGTGCTCAGTATCGAACCTCTGACGACTGCGAGACAATCCCTATCGCTACGCAACGCGCCGTCAACCGCGGGCATTACGTTAAAACTGCTGTACCTCACCCTTCCTAACACTGGCTTCGAGTTTCAACTTTCAATCGTGAAAGGCGTACAATCACAGTTGCACAGTCGGTTTGCAGTCGGCACGATGTGGGCGCGCGCCGTCTCTCTGGCGCTGGCGACCGTCGCACTCGCGGGAGCCTCCGACGTCCTCTATGAGATATCCGGTAGGGTCCAGTGCTGTGCTGTGCTGTGCTGTGCTTGTAAACAACATAACTAGGCAGCTCGACGCCCGGTCTCTAAAAATATAACGTTCCTTTCTATTTTATGTAATAGTGCCGGCGGCTGTGTGATCTGATAGTCAGTTGGCTTTATACAAATGTATAGTTAAAACTATAATTTTATTTTGTTATGTTTTAAATTGCTAACTAACTTTAACAAGTGGAGTGAAATAATTCAATAAAAGTGCAACCAACACGCGTAATACTGTAATTGTCACAAAACGCATTCTCGATGGAGAGTTGGGTGGTGCATGCGACGCCGCGTCGGTGCGAGACTCGACCACTCTGTTACTTAAGCTGTGGTTAATTTTAGAACAATAATTGTTTATTTGGCAAAAAACAACTTTACACAATTACAAATTAAAATTCTACGTATATGTCTTATATTCTTCAAAAAATAATTATTTAACAAATGCAAGTATTGTGTGCTGGAGGCACGACATGATCCCAGGTACTCTTCTTGTGTTCCTATCGTCATTTCGTGTCAACGGCCGGTCGTTACGTTTGAACACTCTGTTTTCTTCAGCGGATTTTTTTTTGGCGCTCACAATCCGATCCCAGTGTCTAGTCTAGAAATCGAATTTATTCCATCCCTAGTTTTGTATTGCATGGATGATGGGAGTCGCTCACGGCCCGCCAGATAAAATGAACAGTTACCGAAGCCCGTAGACATCACAACGTGAAACCGCCATCCACATTGAGGCATCAGGGCAAAGTGTTCATTGTGTTGAATAACGGCTATCCTGCCCTTCAATCCGGAAGGCAAAAGGTGTCGGCAGCTATAAGCAGCAGGGCGTTACCTACCCGTGTGGGACTACAAAGATTGCAATAATTGGTGCTCGGGCAGAGCACAGTAATATTTTGGTCTGATTTTCTCGGGTGCAGTCGCAACCTGGAAAACTATAAAGCATTCCGACTTTAAACAAATTATATGAAGAACCAAATAATGTCAAGAAATTATGAAAAAATCGTGAGTTCAAACCTGTTTACGATCTGACACCCACCAATAAGACGCACACTCAATACAGACCCGTAAGAGTCAAGGTATGAGAATTTTTTAGTACGGCTTCTCGGTCATCCTCAGATAACTAGTCATTAACGATTTCCGATCCAATCTTCGAGTAGAGTGTCCTATCCACGGTGTAGCTATTGTTGGGATCATAGAGATTACAAATAAATAATCTCTCTCTCCAAGAAAACGACGTATATTGTGAGTTGCATGAGTGATTGTTTCAGTGTGTCAAAATTTACGAGACTATACCATAACTCGATATTAGTTTTTAAATTATAGAATACAGTGATATCACTACATAGTATAGCATAGTCACTACATAATATAAAACAAAGTCGCTTTCTCTGTCCCTATATCCCTATGTATGCTTAAATCTTTAAAACTACGCAACGGATTTTGATGCGGTTTTTTTTAATAGATAGAGTGATTGAAGAGGAAGGTTTATATGTGTAATAACATTCATTAAATAGTGGAGAAATCAATAATAAATTACAGTTTACGAAGCGAAGCGAGGGCGGGTCGTTAGTGTTTGTTAAAACTCTCAATTGAATATAGCCCCATAGAAAGGTACTTGACCTATCCCAAGTCACAGCACGTCGTCCGTCACGGTACGTACAAAGGGCGATTAAAACACTAAAACGTACATGCTTAATTTCAATTTGTTTTCAATAATTTCAACAACAAAAGACTAGGTTAAAAAAACAATATATTTTGTTGTACCGTTGAACCCTAGACCTTATTCAAGACGCTTACGGCTTATGATGCCGCACCCATTATCGGTCATTATGGGCAGTTTACGGCACTCTTGGTGTTAAGTGGTTACTGGAATCTGTGAAACTTTTAATGTGAATGAACAGTGACATATAACCCAAAAAGTGGTATTCAATTAATGAAAGAATCCTTGAGACATGAAATCCAAGTCTCGATACTGTACAGTGTGTGATTGTCACCAGAAGGTGATACTTACCCGTGCGGACTCACAATATAAAGTGCACTACAGCACTGGTGAGGAGCTTTAGTGCCTAGACGAGCAGACAGACTGGTGGTGCCCAAAATGTTAACAGTTTGGTTCCGGAACTCAAAAGGTCACGACATAAATGGCATAGTCATGAGGTCGCAATAACACTAAATTAATGACTGTCTGGACCCTTCAAAATAGGAACATAGATTGCTTTGCATAAAAATAGGCAGAGCGCCTCGGGCCCGCGCAGGCTTAAAGCTCGCCTCGCCGGCAGGACTTACTACCGATAGGCGGTGTCCTTCCTTCATAGAACTTATACTTAAATATTTGTGTTAATCGCGCCCAGATCGGTCTCTCGTGTTACGATCGTATGTCGTATCACTTTTGTCAGAGCGGTCGTGGTCGTCATCTAGCATAATTGCTGTGGGCAGATGTTATGCGCCTCACGAGCAATCGCCTCTCCTACCGGCTTGTGGTGAGCTTGGTACACTCATGCAAACAACCGCCAACTGCCGACTTGACGGTCCATCGCATGGGCACCCTTTCACGCGGTCTGGTGTCTTCTACTTTGCCCTGAACGACAAAGCGCTCTATGGAGTCATTTCCTCGCCGGGAGACATGTCCAAAAAAAGATAGTATGCGTCCATGCACGAGCGCCATCGATACGAGCGCCGACGGACGCTGCTTAATGCCGAGTTCTTGAAGAATGGTGATATTGGTGCGAAGTTCGGTCCATGAAATACCAAGCATTCGTCTCCATCACCACGTGTTACGATACTGAGCATATAATATTTTATTAAGTCACGAGTGACGAATGCTTTAGAACCAAAAACTGTGTTGATCTGTATTAAAGGTCACACCGTGTAGGCGTGGTCATGTTCATGTTTGGGAACATTGTATCATCTGAAATTCCGGGTACAGATGTCATTGACTCTCCAGGCACTCCAGAGCCCAGAGGACAAGGAACAAAACTGAAGTCAAACTGAGATAAGTTCAACTGTTGGGCGCGCGTTACGTAATTGACAACGCAACGTGATAAGTTGCGCAGTCCGCATTCAGATAATTATCTAATAGTGGTGAAACTTCGCAATCATATAAATAGTATTCTTATGAATTTATATTCGGTCCAGACGCGTTTCGCTATCCTTATATATATAAAACAGAGATACTCGCCACTCTGGTGGATGCGAAAGAGTATGTCTGGCTAGTCATTAATGACTAATGAGAAGGTTCTCATTAATAAGAAGGTTCCGACTTACTCTGGCGACACAGGGGCTCCTTCGTCACTACTACTTACCACTGTGCTAAATTTTTTTCTACTTAAATTGATGGCTTTGATATGCCATTTCAGCGTAACCCTAACAAGTAGATGAACTCACGGGGCTCAAACCTGATTTCGTTGTTAACACTAACCCTAGCAAGAGCAGTGCTTCACAGAATCTACCACCGGATCGGAAACGCGACCCACTGAGAAGATCCGGCGAGAAACTCAGTGGGCTGTGTCTGTGGGTTAATTAACTCGCCGAGCCCTTCGTCGTAAACGACAAATTCGACGAGAACGATGACCGGTGCTTGGGGTACCTAAAAGCACCCCTAGTAAAACTCTTTGAAATCGTTATATTCAAACCATCCGCGGACTGACTGTGCTTCTCCTGAATTGTGAAGTTTATCGTGGAGTATGATCAGGTAGACGTATCCAAAAAAAATCTCCGCTTAGTACAAAAAGACCAAGAAGAGTGCAGCACGCCGGATCGCTCCATCCAGAGAACACAGTTTCTGGTGACGTGGATCCTTCGTTTAAAAACTTAAAACTTGACATTTTTTAGCATATTTTACAATGTTTTCTTAAGGAATACCGTGTAAAATGAACATTTCCTTATGGACAGATAATTAAAACTGGCAAGGACTCTGCTCAGTACACACAACGAGCAAATATTTAGACGTCAATTGTCATTTGAGTTCATCTGCTTAGCCAATATTAGTACGCAGGATTTGCAATACTGTGAGTCACATTAAGTTATTGACAAACATAACCTTATTGTTAAATATTTCTGTTTTGTTCGTAGCCCGTAGAGCTCCTTATTGTTTTAATCGACTCCAAGAGCCAATTAGTAATAGCATGTATTCTTGTAATTAGTTAAAACTGTCCGCTTTGTATTAAAAGAAAAGGATTGATAAGAGAACTCTTCAATTCGCTTTAAAAAAAACTAAATAACAACCTCACCTTGCCTTTCATCTCATTTTATTAGTTCGTTATATTTTAGGACAGTATGTGTTAGCTGTGTTTTTAAAAAAGTTAAAGGTAAAGAAACTGAATTATTCTTTTCCTTTTCTTAAAGGTTATAATACTTTGGCTCAGCTCAGTATATATTGAAAACAATAGTATTCATATAGACTTGAATTGTCATCTAAGATTATTGTCCGATTGAGTTAAAACTTTGTACATTGGGAAAGGGTTTTGTCGCGATGTGATCAAAGCAAGGTAGGGGGCGCTCGGGTACATCCCCAGCACATAGCGGCAGAGTGCGAGCACTAGCAGGAATCCGCTGGTAACTGGTGGATATGAACAGTACATTATTATATCGAGAGGTGAAAAGCTATTTGACTGGTGAATCTGGAAAGGCATCTGAGCCACCAGGAATTCCTCATTCACAAAAAAATAGGTTATTTGGTTTAAGCAACATTTTTGCAACTTTACAGGAGAGTTATTTAAATTTCTTTGTTTTGTAAATTGTTGTAAATTGTATATAACTATACTTGAGACCTTAGAACTTGTCTCGGGGTGGGTGGCGCATTTACGTTGTGAATAAGTTAACCCCTTAACACCAGGTAGGATGTAAGCTCGTCCACCCAACTAACCAATAAAAAAAAAAGAAAAAAAATTCAAATTTTGGAAAAAATATCATAACAAAAAAGCTTCTTCAGCTACCTATTTCAATGAAGTAAACTCAATTGAAGATCAATTAAAAACATCGAACTGGTGATGTTAATAGCAAATAAAACGCACCTTTAATTGCAAAGATAAATGTAGCGTGTTAAGCGAAATGTCGCTTCAACTTTTCATCCCTCGATCTTATATGAGTTCAGTTCATTACCAGTTCAACGCAGACACATTCAATAGAATTCCAATTCCATTGTCTTGACAAAGTACGCATTCCTAATATCCACTACAACATATGTACATATGTAAATATACCAGTACGATCACACATGTTTGCACTTCCGAACTACGCGCTACAGACTTTATTCATATTTTTACAATCATCTTTCTGTGACCGTCGCCGCGTCGTGTACACGAATATATTATAACATAAAGTATGACGCACGCTTTTACTTTAGCTGTGTACCTAAATACTTAGTCTGGCCATAAATACTGTTACAATTAAAAATAAACAAAATATTACATTTGAATTTGGAATCTGTAATTTTTATATGATTGCTCATTGAGTTTTCTCATTTTGGCGCCAATACATTGTACAATATTTTGCGATATTAAAATGGAGTGGGGTGATAAAGAGAACCGAATCGCTGTGATTGCATTACACAAAATAGGTATGGAGCCAAATGTAATTTTTAAAACTCCATACGTTTGGTATTAGTAAAATGTTTCTGTACCGGGCTATTAATAGGAGCAATGACACCTCCTCAGAGCTTGAGACAGAAAAAGATCTGGCCGCCCACGTAGTGTTCGTACGAAAAAGGTGGTCAAAGCAGTAAGGGAAAGAATTCGAAGAAATCCTGTCCGAAAGCAAAAGATTTTATCTCGGGAGATGAAGATAGCACCTAGAACCATGTCGCGTATTTTAAAAGATGACTTAGGACTTGCAGCCTATAAGAGACGTACTGGTAATTTCTTAACTGATAATTTAAAAGAGAATAGGGTGGTAAAATCGAAACAACTACTGAAGCGGTACGCAAAGGGAGGTCATAGAAAATTTTTGTTTACGGATGAGAATTTTTTTACATTTGAGCAACATTTTAACAAACAAAATGACCGTATTTATGTTCAAAGCTCTAAGAAAGCTTCCCAACTAGTCGACAGAGTGCAATGTGGGCACTATCCGACTTCAGTGATGGTTTGGTGGGGTATTAGCTATGAAGGAGTGATTGAGCCATACTTTTGTGAAAAAGGTATCAAAACATCGGCACAAGTGTATCAAGATACCATTCTTGAGAAGGTGGTGAAGCCCCTTAACAACACCATGTTCAATAATCAAGAATGGTCCTTCCAGCAAGACTCGGCGCCAGGTCATAAAGCTCAGTCTACGCAGTCTTGGTTAGAAACGAACGTTTCGGACTTCATCAGAGCTGAAGACTGGCCGTCGTCTAGTCCCGATCTTAATCCGCTGGATTATGATTTATGGTCAGTTTTAGAGAGTACGGCTTGCTCTAAACGCCATGACAATTTGGAGTCCGTAAAACAATCAGTACGATTGGCAGTGAAAATTTTTCCCATGGAAAGAGTGTGTGCTTCTATTGATAACTGGCCTCAAAGTTTAAAGGACTGTATTGCGACTGCATTGACTAATGGAGACCACTTCAAATATGCTTTTTATACTTTAAATTGTTTTAAATTTATGTATTAAACTAACACACTGTAAAAGTAATAAATGTTATTTGCAATAGAATTTTTTTTTCCTTTGTCTCAGTATTTATGGCAAGACTAGGTATATTTTTTTGTTGACACACTTGTACATACTGTATCTAATAATGGTACATCAGAATTAGGGCCACTATATAAAATCCCTTCATTCTTACTTGTTATTGGTGGTATAATTTCAGTCCGGTTGATATTCCAAAGGGATCAGCTAACGTCCATTCTAGGTCAGCATACCGCAGTACGAGGATCAGGAAATAGAATGTTTGCTTGATGTTTCGTTTGTATTAGATGAATGACTAATGCTGAACAGCATCATCAACGTAAGGTAAAGTGGCTATCGGAGCCCAAAGATACAGCAGCGTCCTTGTCTGAAGGTCCTTGCCGATTTGAGATAAAAATAAAACACGTGTGGCACTCGAGGACTGCCGCGGTAAAGCTATTGCATAGCTTTTTTTTCAACTTATGCAATTATAATTAGACAATAATAATTTAATATTAAAACAATAATAAAATAAGACCACGCTATATTTATAAACATTAACAAAAACAAAACATTAACTGTCCCCTTCATACTCATAAGCTAGACCGCGCTAGAGAAAGATGGGCAGACTTTTCATGATGCGCATGCAGTGCGACGTCACACCGCGCGCTTATTCACAAACACTACACAAGCGCAACGTGTGAATGTGTTGAACACAAGCTACATGGTAGGCGGGAGTGGGGTGTTAGGTTTTATTTTCGTTACGGAATTTCTTGATTCGGTCCCCGCGATAAAAGCTATGTAATAGCTTAATATTCTACCTAAAGTCCACCTGCTGACAGAGAAAATCCTTTAAATATGATGTATGTCCTATCGTTAAATACACGACAATTTACTAAAGCATTGCTAAAATCTACAGTGTAATAACTCTGTAACAGATGAACAATACTATGAGATGCCAACGCTGTTCCACCTGGACGAGTATGAGAGGTGCTTGGCGACGCGCGGCGTCTACTGCACTGGGAGCTTTGAACTCTCGCCACAAGGACCCCACCAGCTATTCCAGCTTATGCAGGTTTGATCTGGACGTGGCCTATTAGAGTTATTTAAAACGTCCTAGATGCTTAATAGTAAAAAGTATTTTTTAATTTTTTTTTATTGCGTAGGTGGTTGGACGAGCTCACAGCCCAAAGGCCCATGGGCTTAAGTGGTTACTGGAGCCCATACACATCTACGACGTAAATGCGCCACCCATCTTGAGATATAAGTTCTAAGGTCTCAAGTATAATTACAACGGCTGCCACACCCTTTAAGCCGAAACGCATTACTGCTTCACGGCAGAAATAGGCGGGGTGGTGGTACCTACCCGCGCGGACTCACAAGAGGTCCTACCACCAGTAATGATGGAAATTAAAATTTGCGTGTTTGATTGAGTTTGCGGGATTATTATTATACGATGTTATTCCTTCACCGTGGACGTTAAAATTAGAAAAAACGACTTATAAAATATCAGAATTGTATAAATGAACTGGTAACTGGTTACTTGTTAGCTAACGGGTTACTGGTTCGTAAAGGAAACCACTATCCATTCCAGTAACAATAGTACATTAAGGGCCAATACGCTTGTAGCCTTGGTATCGCCGATATCGGTGAGCTAACTATCCTATGTTTGACTTGTGGTCAGAGTCTCTTTTGAGCATCTTTATTGAGGACGCTTAGTATTCAGCATCTAGATTGTTCCATTCTCGAATGCGTATGTTTCTACTTCAGGAAATAAAATAAGTTGTATGTTAAATTGATTAACTGATTGCACAGCGCTATTCAGCCAACTGGGTGGACAACTTCAATCACACTCGGCTGCACCGGGGCCTGTGCGTCTCGCAGAGATGTAGGCAGCTTGCTCCACAGCAACATCCGGGTCAAGGAGAACACAATGCTGCTCTCGCTGAATGGTGAGGAAGTTAAGATATGAACTAGTATTAGATGTTCTAAATCAGCTTGGAACTTAGGTAGAATAGAAAACCGAGCTGCATGTGTCGCAAAAAACCTATATCTAGCAGGAGACTAATAAGAGTCGATGTTCAATAAATCACTTATATCAAGATGATACCTCATCTCTATTACTCTGAAGTAGACTACTCTTATGAAGAGCCTCCGTCTACAGTATGATGCGCGTGGAATGCATGGTCTTTTCTGTACGTTACTTTCAAATAAACGAATTATGATACATAACTACGATAAGTTGCAACATAATCTCCTGAAAATCGCTGTTGCTTAAGGGTTTCCAGGTAGTTGGGACAAATTCTGCTTCGATAGAGTTTGATATAATGCAACAAATCTATCTTTTTATCTTCTCCTGTTCTTAACCCATGCGCGACATACGAATCTTGATAATGCACACAAATAAGCTAACATTCAGTTTAATTTGATACTGGATCTAATGAGAGTATTTTACCAGGTTCGAGAGCTGCGTCAATGAAAGCACAATGCTTTCATATAACCTATCCTCGCGGCTGTACCAGCTCGAGTACTGCCGAAGAGGCGAAGTCAATCCTGATGGCTTATCTACCAACGAACGCGCGTTCGCTGGATTTGTGGCCATTCTGCTCGCCTTCTGCGCAGTTTCCACTGTGCTTGATTTAACACTGTCAGATCACGCGAAGAAAGGTAAGATTTAAGTATTACGATAACCCAGGGACAATCAAGATGTTGTCAACAACATACTAGCAACACTAAAGATTGATATATTTTTTGATGTTATTCCAGTACAGCTTACCATATTAAATGTATTTTAAATGCTTGTGCACCGTATAGCTGTGGGAAATAGCTCATACCGGTCCAAAAATGTTTAGCACCCACTTAGAATTGTCCCATTCGGTACTCTGGTCCAGTTTGTTTTCCAGCGACTCTTTTTCTACTACACCCTATTTAATTGTTTAATTCTAACCTCAAACTTCATCGTGGAACTCGATCGTGAGTACGCGTTTTGTACGTTATTTCCGTATAAAAACGACTGCGATACTCCCATAGACACAGCCCACTGAGTTTCTCGCCGGATCTTCTCAGTGGGTCGCGTTTCCGATTCGGTGGTAGATTCTGCGAAGCACTGCTCTTGCTAGGGTCAGTGTTAGCAACTCTCCGGTTGAGCCCCGTGAGCTCACCTACAAACGTTAGGGCGAAGCTGAAATAGCCTGTCAAGGCTATCAGCAAAGGTAGAAAAAAAAAAAAAAAAAAAAAACTGCGATACTTGACACCGGCACTGTCGCATCACTCGATACGAGTGTGTACTCAGCGTCTTATCCTTCAGGACACGGGCGATTTTATAGCGATGACAATTATTTCTGAGTAGCCTGCGACCTATAATTGTTGATAATCTAGAACTGTATTTAATTTCCATGGTATACTTTGCAATAAAAGTGTCTAGAAGAGCGGGCACCCACCAGTGCGGACTCACCGAAATGCCAAAGTTATGATTTTTACGGATTTGATATTCGATTCGATAAACGAGTGTTNAAAAAAAAAAAAAAAAAAAAAAAACTGCGATACTTGACACCGGCACTGTCGCATCACTCGATACGAGTGTGTACTCAGCGTCTTATCCTTCAGGACACGGGCGATTTTATAGCGATGACAATTATTTCTGAGTAGCCTGCGACCTATAATTGTTGATAATCTAGAACTGTATTTAATTTCCATGGTATACTTTGCAATAAAAGTGTCTAGAAGAGCGGGCACCCACCAGTGCGGACTCACCGAAATGCCAAAGTTATGATTTTTACGGATTTGATATTCGATTCGATAAACGAGTGTTGATATTTCACCGTTCACCGTCCCGTGGCGGCGCGGCAGTGGCGGTGGCCAGCGACAGTCGCGCAGGATCGCTGTGTCGCAACACAGAGCCGGTCTAGCGATTATCTAACTGTGACCGACACCGCTGATGGGTGTCTGCACTGTTGCCTGTTGTATTTATTACTAGATATTTCAAATGGTATACATTTTATAGTTTACTCAATTAATTCCCTATCAAGGTTTGGCCTTATTAGTCTAATTCTGTGGCGTTAGCCATTACAGAGTCAGGGTCAAAGTTTCTTTGTAGCATCTCGCTTGGAACTCTTAGTGTATTTGTTTCTCTATCGTATATGTTCCCAGTATTCCCAGGAGAAGAGGAACACTTATCTCGGGACTGATGATTTTAAGTACTTTCCTTATGAAATATTATAATATTACTGGTAATATTATGAAGATTACTTAATAGATCCCACACCGTGCACATGATTGGATGCGATTTCATCGTTCTATGTTTTCGGTCGCTTAGTAATCACGTGTTCCGATTGGTAGGACAGCCTCAGCAGCCATTAGATATACACCCGATATATTATTAGCTAATAAATGCTGGGGATTACGTATTATTATAATGATCTCTGAACGAAACTGGCGCCTACAAAATGGTCATGTCATCAATTTGTGCTGATGTACTAAACTAATGTCCAGTCCATTGTCTACATGTCCTAACTGAAAATTGACATATCGCCAGCGCCCTCTGACCAGTATGCTAGTATCACATCAGTAGACAGTTGTTGTATTTACAATGTAGACCATCCGCTCCGTCTATAGCCGTGTTTATTGGATTCATAATAAAGAGTAAAAGTTCTCCCGATGTAGATGTGATTTATCATTTATTCGCGTTAAATACAAAAGTGACGAACGTGACCGGCGCCGCAGAGTTACATCACAGAGATCCTCTAACCGAAATAAGATCTAAAAATATTCATTTTTAATTTTTATTGCTTAGATGGGTGGACGAGCTCACAGCTTACCTGGTGGTAAGTGGTTACTGGAGCCCATAGACATCTACAAGGTAAATGCGCCACCCACCTTGAGATATAAGTTCTAAGGTCTCAAGTATGGTTACAACGACTGCCCCACCCTTCAAACCGAAACTCATTACTGCTTCACGGCAGAAATAGGCGGGGTCGTGGTACCTACCCGTGCGGACTCACGAGGGGTCCTACCACCAGTAGTGATGATTTCTAAAAGTAAGCTAGAAACATTAACGTTGGGATATCGGGCTCCAGCAGCCACTTAACACCTGGCGGGCCATGAGCTCGTCAGCCTTTCTACACTAACAGGAAACACAAATACAACATTTTAGCCAATTTATTGTATATTTCTCGCAAAAGTATAAGTTCATCTGCTTGTTTTATGACAAAGTTACATAACGTACACGCGTTAGCATCACGCTGCTTTCAAATCATTAGATCATTTGGTCACGGTTTGGTTGATATTCGTTAGGCCGGTGCTTAGCATTGCACACAAATGAAAATAGATGAATAATACAATAATTTACATTCAAACCAGTAGTATAAGTATTTATAAATCTTTAAATATTGATTTCGATCTAATATACAACTACAAATACTTATTTAAATTATTTCTCAATGAAAACGGCAGTAGCCAATACATAATTTGAAGTCAAAAGTAGCCCAGAGGTTCGAAGGACTTTTCCCACCCTTGGATGTGGAGTCAGCAACTTTGAACTGTAAGGTGAGTAAGTATTAAATAATGGAAATAATTCAAAAAAACTCGATCACATGTTATTTAAAAAATATACAGATAAGTATTGTCATTGTTAAATGATTATCGTGGCAAAAGTGTGGTGTAAAATATTATTTATTTCTTTACCGCGGGATAGTTTCGGTTATTACAAATTCTGCAGACACGGGGTCACTGAGAGGACGCTGTGTCAACAACCTGTTGTTATTGTAAATGTGTCGTCCCTGACTTATTATTGGGAATTCCTTATTTCAGCATTATATTATGTACTTACTCAGATAATGTAAATATTATGTTATTCAACAAGCTTTTATCCTAATTAAATATGTTTTGTTGTATGTATGAATCATCAACAAAAAATATTTAAGCTTTTGAATAATATTTATTTTACTTAGCATTTTAGATGAAATTCCGGAAAGAATTAGACATAAGGCCTAAATCCCAAGCACCCTGTGCCGCGGCTGCTATTCCCTTGAAATCGGGACACACAGGCACACACGCCAATACTTCGCAGCAAGAACAACTCAGTTGGCACTACTTATCGCTTTTTTTTCCTACCTAAGTTGAGAGCCTTGAGAGGCTATATCAGCTTAACCTTAACTAGTAGGTGAGCTCACGGGGCTCAAACCTGACGACATTGCTAACACGAACCCTAGCAAGAGCCGTGCTTCGCAGAATCTACCACTGAGAAGATCCGGCGAGAAACTCAGTGGGCTCTGTCTGAGGGTTAATTTACTCATCGAGCCTTTCGTCGCAAGCGACGGGTTCGACGACAACGTTGGCCGGTGCTTGATGTACTTAAAAGCACCGTTAGTGGATCGGGAGGATCCGAAATGACGTGTTTGGGGCGACGTCGACTGCTTTCCATTCTGTCCGCAGGATCGGGAATATAGTTACCGGCGGCCACGTTGAGAGGGTTCTCGTATCGTGCCGCTTTATCGAAATGGCTACTCATTTCTGCGCACCTACGATATACACTACCACCGCTAAAGGAATTCAAAACTGTAGACAGGAAGGCTATGATAACAACATGCCTGTAAGAAGGAGAAGGCAATTAAGGATAGGAAACTGCTAATACGAATGCGATAATGGAATTAGTAGCAACAACTAGAGCTGGCAGAGGAAGGGGCTAGGGTCGGACCCATGTCGTTTCATGCATTACTCAGGAGGCTGTTCATTACGGAGAGTCTTCTACAAGAGAAATAAATAATAAATCAATTCCATGACAAAACCGTTTATTTTCGCAAACTTCACAATAAATTCAACGGGGCAAGCAGTTCAGCTGCCGTCAGGCCGCGCTGACGTCACCGGCGGCGTCAGGTTACAGCGCCGCTGATGAGAGACGAGCCTATGCAATAAAGAGCATAATTATAGAGTACATGCAGACAATACTTACATACATGTAATCGTCAACAACTCAAACATACTGTCAACTTTCTGGATCTTTTCCTTTTTATGTCAAACTTTGAAGGTGTCAAGGCAGTTATAGTATGTTCTTTTTTAAAGTTGTTTCTAAGTCGATAGGACCGCCGGTGAACTCGTATTGAAGGATGCGACTGTGCCGATGTTCAAATGCTTCAGACAGGTACCATTTATTCTCAAGGAGTGCGTACTTTACATATGTCTTGATGTCGTATTATAAAGATCAAACCTGCAAAATTATAAAATTGCGTAACTACTGGAGCCCGCCGGGGTGTACCACGGCCCCGCTTGTTTTCTATGACGAAGCGGTCATATCTGAGGCCGCCGTTGTATAATCCAATATACAAGAGATCGATCTCACGCCTCAAGGTGATGGCAACATTCACGTTATGATGTCTACGGGCCACGGTAACCACTTAAGACCAGTGGGCCCCGAGGTCCTTGACCAATCTAAGAAAAAGTGCATAAATAAATTAATAATATTATTCATGCTATTTCTAATTCATTAATGATATTAACTCAAATAAACCCTCAGGTGCTGCATGGGCGCTCTCATTCTCAATTCCGGGTTGTTGGCGCTCGTTACTTGCTCCACCACCCTGCTCTTCGGAGACTGACCTTCGCGCGTTTGATGGGCTCAGGGTCCTCTGCATGATGTGTGTCATAATAGAACACGTGTGCTGGATCACAACGCACACTTTTCTGGCCGACACCAGGAGATATGAACAGGTATTCAAATATACTGTCTCAGTGTGGTGTTTGTATGGTCCGGAGCCAGTAGAGATTATATTTTTATTGCTTACTAGCTGACCCGGCAAACTTCGTAGTGCCTCAATCGATAAATAAAAGACCTAAACGTTTGTATAAAATAAATTTAAAACAAACAAAAGGAATCCGTCTGACGGGGGACACACCAAAGGAAAAACAAAATTGTTGTTTTTATTTAATTCGGAGCATTTTCATATTTATCTACCTTTTAAAGTTTTTAAACCCTTCTCGAGTTTTAGCGAGACTAACGAACAGCAATTCATTTTTATATATAGAGATATAGTTAGTTGTCCTAAGCTTTCCATGAAAGTCTGTTGAGTACCTTTTCAATATGAACGTTGTCATCGAGAAGAGCTAAGCACTTATGGACATTCCATAACAGACCCGTCGAGCCCTGGATGCAATGCTGATGGCGAACAGCACGCTCGTGGTGCAGATTTTCTTCATGATGTCTTCCTTCCTGCTCGCACACAAGCTGCTGCAGCAGAGACGACGGGGAGAGCAGGTGCCTGTCGTGCGCACTTTCTTCGATACTATGATTAACAGGATCATAAGGTAAGACAAAACATGTAAGTTGCACTAGGAAGGGGTCACTTTCAGCAGTAAACCTCTTTTTTTACTACCTAAGCTGGTAGCCTTAGAGGGCTATGCCAGCGTCACCGAGCGAGATCAGGCTCTGATGTTGGTAGGAGCACTGACAACAACAACAGTAACACGGACGCCGGGCCGGTCTAATATGTGGATGGCACTGTACATCCCGGGACATGCTGCGAGAGGCTGCGACGCTAACTTGTATTTGTCTTTGATATGATAATGATGAATAATAAGCTCGCTGAAATTTAGGTGAAATTAACGTCTTGCCCATCAAATACTATCAAGATGTGTTCCGCAGAGTGAGTCCTAGTTACTTCGTGGTGGTTTGGTTCGCTGCGAGCTGGTGGAGCCGCGCCGGGTCGGGCCCGATGTGGACCCCGCTCATCGAGGCCGAGGTCAACATCTGCAGGAGCAAGTGGTGGACCCATCTGCTGTACTTGAATAATATTGTCTATGCAAACGACAAGTGTCTCATACAGACTTGGTAATTTAATATTGTGTTTGCATTTGCATTTTATATTAGCTTTGAATTACTTTTTTGGTTACACTGCCGGCCATAAATTTAAGACCGCATTTAACAACATAATTCTCATTCATTAAACAAATCTATTAATTGTAATAAAATCCCATAAGACAAATTAAAAAAATAGCACATCTACATATTCTATTGTTAATATTGAATATTTAAAGAAGTAATCCTTTTGTTTACTGAACGTAAACAGCTGTTAGTTAAATGAGTTATTGGACAATAAACATCTATTGTTTTCAAACACGGACAAACGTTGGGTTAGAGCCAGATGGTAGAGTCATAGTAATATATTTACAATTGCTCATTACTAATTACTTTTTTTTGTTTCGCATTGATCAATAATTAAGATTATTTAGCTTCTGCAAACACGTGTTTCCGAATTCTTATTACCTTTTTTTTCACAAACAATCACAATTAGGCTAAGCTTGTGGTTTCTACAGTGAAGACATCTTAAAATAGGAAATGCACGCAAAATTAGCAGTGAAGTGCGTTCAGCCAGTGTTGTTTTACATAATGAGGCAAATCTGAACGTGAGATTCCTTCACAACTGAAGTTATTGAGGACTTGTGTTTATGACACAATCACTCGATACAGGGATACAGGCAATTTTCAAGATGGTATACGCTCGAGAAGGCCGAGAGCTACCACGTCTAGTGAAGATAATTTCATCATTGTTACCAGCAAGCGAAATAGACGCTTAACAGCACCAGAAATTCTTTTTGAAGTAAACAAAACCCAAGTTAAACCTATATCATTGACTACAGTAAAATGGCGACTGAGAGATGTATGAGATGTGTGGTCGCATCGCCGTTCGAAAACCTCTGCTAAGACCACAAAACAAGAAGAAACGGATGCAGTGGGCATCATCGAGATTGGACTGAAGCAGATATTAAAAAAGTTATTTGGACCGTTGTATCCAACATTGAACTATTCAGTTCGAAACGAAGAATTTACGTTCGACGCAGTGCCTAAGAAAAATGATCACTGTGTAGTCCATACAATCAAGCATGGTGGTGGCTCAGTTGTGGTCTGGAGTTGCTTCTCTAGCCAAGGAACTGGCGATTTGAACACAATTGAAGGAATTTTGAAAAAGGAACAGTACAAATAAAATTTAGAACAAAATGCCGTTCCTTCCGGGTTGCGATTAATTAGAGATGGAATCATTTTCCAGAAGATAATGATCCAAAGCATAGCTCAAAATTATGCAGAGGATATTTAGAAGAGAAAGAGGCACAAGGGATGTTAAAAAAACATGATTTGGAAATTGGAGCAATATATCACAATAAGCTATCAACAAATTGATTGCCCGTATGCCGAAACTTATAAAATAGTCATAAAATGCAATGGAGAATTTTTTGATTAAAAATCAGTCTAGCTAAGGCTAAGGATAGCTAAGCCAAAGGATAGAGCCTTTTTTAGCATGGGCGTTATATTTATTAGCATATTTCTTTACGCTTTTAAAGTATGTATATCGTTTGTCAAGCAATGTTTTATTATATGATTAAACAGGTTAATTAAAGATTTAATATTTTATTGGAGTTTTATTTTATTTTCCTGCTTTAATTATGGTGTCTTAAATTATTGGCCTGCAGTGTATCTCGTATGCTTAAAATACACCCGATAACTATTTCGGTACATTTATGTAGGTAAGCGTAACCGTATTCATCGCAATCTTTGATGAATTATATGTGACCTCGTCTCAAGCACAACAATGAAAACAATTCAGTAAAAACCTTAGTGACTCAAAACTTGTGCAAATTGGACAGTGAAAATTATCTTTCAAAGCAAGCAATGTAACGCGCGCGTGACTTCCACTATAAACCAAAGTTCAACTGGAGAACAAATTTTGAATTTCTTGTTAAGGTATTTAGCAGCAGACATGCAGCTGTACGGCCTGTCTCTCCTGCTGACCCTGGCGCTGTGGCGATGTCGGAGAGGCGCCATCTACGTGTTGACGGCCTTACTGGCGGGCTCCATCGCCTTGCTGTTCGGCCTCGCCTACACGTGGAGACTGGTGCCGACTTTTGTGATGCATCGACCGGAGTGAGTGTCCTCCACAACCGCACTATAAAAGCTTTACTGCTTACAGAACCTCAGCAGTTCCGCAGCACCAGCAACAATGTAGACATTAACGCCGCAGGTAGTGTTAAATCGATAGAATTTGGCATATTGTATGGTTGTCTGTTGCACTGGTCTACTGCTGGTAGGGCGTGCCGGAGCCAACGCAAAGGAATACAATGGTTCTTCGTATTCAGCTACTAAAGAAATTTAAGAACCGATCCCTTTTGACAGAAGCTCCATTTTAGTTTAGGATTAGCGGCCATCAATATAATACGATTGAAATTTCGACTTGACATTCTAAACTGGGTACATATTTATGATATACTCGACGCACTCTCTGCTCCACGAGCATTCCAGAGTTCCAGAGCATTCCAGAGTCCATTTGTAAGTCCGTTGGTACGTAGCATCACGAACAACTGCTTTGGTATTCTTATAGTATTTCAGTAAGTAATAGTAGTCTTGGTAGTAGTAGTCTTGGTATTCTAGTAATGACCGCATAAATATATTTCGGCAAACGTTTTCTGACCGCGGCTCAAGTCAATCAACATGTGAGTATTAAAGGGACGTTAGGGTCCCTTTAATACTCACATCCCGTAGATATGGTTTTTAGGAAAATATAATAATTAAAGACATCGTTGAAAGAACTTTATTTATAAGTTTCTCGTCGACGTGAGTGGCGTCTGATGCTGAACTTGACGTCAGTTTACCTCACGGCTCACCTGGTGTTAAGTAGTTACCATAGACATCAATAACGTATATGCCGTCACCCACGCCAGTTCTAAGTCTCATTTATTTACAGTACAACGGCTGCCCCACCCTTGAAACCAAAACACATTAATGTTTAACGGCAGAAATAGGCAGGGCGGTGATACCTACCCGCACTAGCCCACAAGATTCCCTAGCCTCAATTTTTATTTATAATATTAATACTATATATTTGGAACTAAAGTGGGTCAATCGTATTATCAAATGGATCTTTTGGTGAACCGCGGTTCATAGATTTACAAGCCCTGGTTTAAAGTTCAATAAATTAAATAAACTATTTACCTAAATACAAATTATTATAATTGCAGATCAGTTCGAACAACATACAGCACGGAGCCCTCGTTCAATGTCCTATATCAGTCACCTCTGGGCAACGTGCCGGGAGCGCTGGCAGGCTTGCTGCTGGCACATCTGCATCATCAGCTCTTGGACTCTCGCATCGTGCTCAGCAAATATAAGGTGGGTCTTCGACTTATTCCAGCTAACTCTTTCCGTTCCAATGCCAGATCAAATCGTAAAACTAGTTTTAATTGTATGACAAACATTCGCTACGTAAAACTTTTCATCGAATTAAATGGCTGTAGGAATCCTAATGAGGGGATTTATCTTTAATTAAAGAGAATTAATTATAGTAGCGGTATCAGAGGCAGCCTTTTTGGTGTTTCAATCTCATGTCGTTGATCAAACTGAATAATACAAAATTATAACAAAAATTATATTCGCCTTCAACAATATTTGATGCGAATGTCATCAATGTAATTGAGGTATATAATATGTACATTGTTAAGGATAACTCAAAAAGTAGGGGTAAGATTTTGATAAAAGTATATGGGACCACATGAAGCAGCAAGCAGTTTTCAAATAAGAACAGAATCATCAATATTGGTTCACCTAGGAAAAAGTTCCGAGGTAACTTACAACATAAAAAAAAACAGGATAATTGAAATCCTCCTTTTTTAGTCATTTTAAAAATCCAACATAGACATTTTAGTAGGTACGAGATTGCCGATCAGGATAGTGCACTTTACTCAGGAGCTTTGTGTCTAAATTAACCAAACCTTAGAAGAAATATGTTTAGCGGCAGGTGCACTATTAACAAAATGCGGCAAAATGCGACTTCGAATAAAATATAACTTGTAATGGTGACATTGTAAATTTGATTAATACTCGTATAGTGGCGCATAAATTGATACTTTCCAACTCTACATTTCATAAAATTATACGAACCACACCTCATTGTCGTTTGCGAGACGTTCCTACTTTAAGTACTCCTACTCTATGTACTGGCATGTAAAATTATCTTAAATTACATGTAGCTGTACAAAATAAATAATGTGTTTAGTAGTAATTTGTAATCACTTTTATGTGATATAACTCAAATGGGTATAGTTAAATAAAATAGTCGGCACTGCTTCCTTCCGCTATTACTGGAAATTACGAGACAGAACATACTGCATATAAATTCACTGGGCTAGGCTATATGTCGAATATTATTGGACATGCAACAGAGGAGGTCTGAGGAGAGTCCTTGGCGGCTGGGCGGTCTCTTTGGAGCACTTTCATATTATCTCTGAACATGTTGTCGTTGTAGTCCTAGAGTACCCCGCTGGTTCATAGGACCCTCACAAGTTGTCTCCACTTGATCCTGTCTTGCGTTTGCCCCTTGATATCACTCCAGGTCACGCCGGCAGTCCTCATCTTGTGCTCCACGGTGCGTTATGTTTAGTCAGAATAGCTCTCCGGACTGGCTCACTCCGGTCTAAACCGATATAATTCGATGATTGTGATGTTTTTCTTAAATCATTTTCCCTTCCTTCTCATCATTAAAAATGTACACTAAAAAAATTTCCGTGGAATGTGATTCGGACATCCAGAGTTAAAGGTTTGTGCCTAATTATAATGACTTAAAGGTACTTCGCTCTAATCCCGGAGACGCCTAGACGCCTCGAGATAAATAGTCTTAAGCGCCTGAACTTTTTTTCTTGTTGTTTTTGTAATCTGGTTGTCGTTAAACCACAAAATTTTGTTGACCTCATTTCTCAAGGTCTCCCATCCCAGACACTGTGTTGTGATGCCTCTAGGACTGGGTAGCCTGCTAAGTTAGTGCAGCACATGTATTAACATTTGTGTTGGTACGCGTGTGAAGTGGTTCCGCTGGTCGGCGGTGTCGTCGGTGTGCGTGTCGGCGTGGTGGGTGGCGGCGAGCCCGCTGCTGCTGGGCCGGGGTGCTCCGGGGCGGGGCGGGGCGGCCGCGCTCGCTTCACTCGAGAGACCCATCTTTGCATTCTTCGTGGGCGTCGCCTTGTTGGGAGCCATGCACGGAGTACCTTGTGAGTTGCACTTTCATATAAACAAACACCAACAACGATGTATTTTTTTGAAGTGAAACTTCTTTAGAATCGCGGTGATTTTAAACTCGATGAAACGAAATAATAAGTCCATAGAGACACAAACACATAAATGTATAGGATTCAGCCGGCGAGAATGAGATAGAACACATTAGACGTTCTCAGTGTAGTGTTTTTTTAATACAGCGCCATCTATGAGATTTTTTAACACTAACGTGTGTATAAAATGTCTTATAGTGAATTTTAATTTAGGATTATACGTGAAGTTAAAATATCAATTTACAGAGTGTTAAGGATTCAAATCTTCGCGCCACCGCTCCATATCGTTATGGCGTCTCATCGGCGTCTACTCTCTGTAATCTATGCCTCTATTGCGCACACGCCATTTATTGCAATTTTTGTGAAAGTCTTTTGAATGCATTTTTTACTAGTTAAAATAAAGTACACGTTATAAGTCGAATTATCGTCATTTAATTTAAAATCCATACCTGGCCCCTACATGGTCCTTCGAGCCGGATGGATATACTTACCAGCTCATACTTTGTTGAAAAAGAAGATTCCATACATTACTGAAGCCGTGGAGTGCAAATTTAATGGAACGGGATTGCACGCCATCGAAGAGTGGTCGAGAGTTCAAAGTTCAAGTGTGGAAATCTTTTGTTAAATGATTATTTTGTATAATTTGAACCCAACACTCAATTAATCAGGTATTTTAGGCTTATTTCGACGTAATTGTAAGGTTAGTAACCAATTCTTTGTTCAGTGAAACAGATAAGTACCAATGTCATCGATTGCTTTAATGTTAGATAAACCCAGGTTAGTTAGTTAAATATTTTATGCGTATTTGTTTGTTCTATTATCTAAATAAGAAACGAACTTGTTTAACTAACATCAATTTTGACCGATTTATCATTAGTTTTGTAACATTTTGCATCGACTTAAATTTATTGATAAAATCTTATGTACCCACATTGTTCTGTCTCAAAATGGTAATTTACTCCTTCATTGTTAATAACGTGTACAATTTATAATTTAATCACAAAATTCATTATTATTTACATGTTAATTTGTAATAATTTACTGAGCTTCTCGTTTAACAACTGTTTAACATTGTGTGATTATTATCAGGTATTTGATGTTAGGTAATTTCATCATTAGTTGTTTCTATGTATTTTATGTAATTGATAAAAGTACTTAAGTAAACATATACTACCTGTATTGATTCTAGACCGATCATACCTGTCTCCCAAAAATGACTGAGCAAAAGGAACTAATAAAGAAACGTAGCAGCATCAAAGGTCGATTAACAGTGTTCGCGAGTCATCTGAAAACAATAGATGAATCAACGATCACTGCCACAGAGGTCAGGGAGTTACAATTGCGCATTGGTAAGATCGAAGCTTTATATCACTTATACGATGAGGTACAGTTGAAAATAGAGTGCAGCTNGCTCATAGAGCGAAGAGCACACAAGACTGGCTGGCGGCGCGTGAAATCGACTTCATCCGGCACGAAGACTGGCCCTCCTCCAGTCCAGATTTGAATCCGTTAGATTACAAGATATGGCAACACTTGGAGGAAAAGGCGTGCTCAAAGCCTCATCCCAATTTGGAGTCACTCAAGACATCCTTGATTAAGGCAGCCGCCGATATTGACATGGACCTCGTTCGTGCTGCGATAGACGACTGGCCGCGCAGATTGAAGGCCTGTATTCAAAATCACGGAGGTCATTTTGAATAAACTTTAGTGTCATAAGAATCTATGTTTTGTTAAATTCATTTTGGTATATGAATGGTTACATAATGAATAAACTTGTTTCAATTATTTTACAATAAACATGTGACAGAATTTATGACCTGACTAGGTATTATAATACTTTGTCAGTCCATATAGCTATTTATTTTTGCAGGGTAAGCTCGAACGGCATTTGGAAGTACATAATACTTTATTTTTAAAACGCAGACATCTTGATGTAGCACAGTTTTTCTTGCAAAGGCACTTCTTAAATCCCTGGGCGGTTCCAGTGGATTGCAAGTTGGCAACTGACCGTAGTGCTAGACTCGTCCCGCTGTCCCCGCGTACCCACCAATATCTTAAATGTTTTACATTTCCGATTGCTATTTAGGAAATGTATAGATTTCCTAGGAAATGTGAAATGTGTAAGTATAATATAATTTATTTCACACATTTCCGTGCGATTTTAGGAATTACATACATTTCCTAGGAATTGTATACAATGACGGATTACATACATTTCCGTTAACATATACATGTAAACCGAATCACTTGTCCACAAAAGACACTAAATAAATCATTTCATGGATTAAAAATAAAACCCACAAAATTGAATTGGGTAATTAATGGTTGGAGGTAGGCCACGTTGGGTCCACGCGGAGGTATGGCGACACTGTCTATTTCTGTAACGAAGCTGCCGTAGGCTTAAGGAATCTGGTTGTCGTTGAACCACAAACGTTGTTGACCTCGTATGACCCATCCAGACACTGTGCTGTGATGCCTCTAGGACTGGGTAGCCTGCTGAGTTACTTTTTATTTTTTATTGCTTAGATGGGTGGACGAGCTCACAGCCCACCTGGTGTTAACTGGTTACCGGAGCCCGTTTACGTTGGAGATGTGTAGACATCTACAACGTAAATGCGGCCACCCACCTTGGGATATAAGTTCTAAGATCTCAGTATAATTACAACAGCTGCCCTACCCTTCAGACCGAAACCATTACTGCTTCACGGCAGAAATAGGCAGGGCGGTGGTACTTACCCGCGCGGACTCACAAGAGTCCTACCACCAGTAGTGCAGCACGTGTATTAACATTTGTCTTCCTGCGCGTGTGAAGTGGTTCCGCTGGTCGGCGGTGTCGTCGGTGTGCGTGTCGGCGTGGTGGGTGGCGGCGAGCCCGCTGCTGCTGGGCCGGGGTGCTCCGGGGCGGGGCGGGGCGGCCGCGCTCGCTGCACTCGAGAGACCCATCTTTGCGTTCTTCGTGGGCGTCGCCTTGTTGGGAGCCATGCACGGAGTACCTTGTGAGTTGCACTTTCCCAACAACGATTTTGAAGTGAAACTTCTTTAAAATCGTTGTGATTTCAAACTAGATGAAACGAAAAAATAAGTCCATAGAGACACAAACACATGAATGTGTAGGATTCAGCCGGCGAGAGAATGAGATAGAACACATTAGACGTTCTCGGTGTAGTTTTTTTTTAATACAGCGCCATCTTTGAGATTTTAATACTAACGTGTGTATAAAACCTCTTGTAGTGAATTTTAATTTAGGATTATACGTGAAGTTAAAATATCAATTCACAGAGGGCGCTACCTCATACTATAAAATATGTTTTACAATTATTTACTAATGATAAAATTTTACTTAAACTTAGCCATTTAGGATAATTGTATTTTAATTTTTGAAGGTTTCCTTTCTACCACGAGTGAATTGCACACAATGACATATTTTTTTAAATTACAAATGCAAGCCAATAAGATACAAGTGCTTATTACAAACGCGAAAAAGTCATAAGTTTCAGTTGATGATTGAATTAAGGAACTCATTTCTCAAGATGAATCCTGTTTTCGGGTGTGCCGTAATCTCGTCTTCTCATCTGAATCCAGTGCAATACCATCAGCTGTGCAATGATTGACTAATGATACTTCAGCCCCGATAGGTAGTTTCTTGTCGTGGCGCGGGTGGGGCTGCGGGGCGCGGCTGTCGTTTGGCGCGCTGCTGCTACACCTGCCACTCAACAAGTCACTGGTGGCGGCGCGCCTCGCACCCACACAGCTTGACAGACAATCTGCAGTAAGTACCACCCAGCATTCTGGCGCATGGCGAGGCGAGTGCCATTTTAATACGCTTTTATTAGCTTCAGACGTATGTATGTTTGTAACGGAATCTTTGAACATGATTTTGACCCCTTGCAAAACGTCGGATTAACTTGAAATTTGGTATACTTATTAAGGACCGATGACAACTAAATTTAAAAAAAATATGGAAAAAATTGAAATTCAACTAAAAACTGAAAAATAAAAAATTGTTTCAAAAAACTAACAAAATACGCTTTTATAGAAAATCCAACAAAAAAATAGAAAATAAATTTTAATAAATTTGAATTAAAAACAGTGTAAGAAAAAATGATTTTATTGTAAAAAAAACCGTGGGGTGCATGGTATCAGTAGTTATAAATATTTTATGAACAGATATGAGTAGAAGGGTTATTTTGATAATATCCTGAAAAGCAGCCCACGATTTTTTTACAACAAAATCATTTTTTCTTACACTATTTTTAATTCAAATTTATGATATATTTTTTCAATTTTTTTTAGTTGTATATTCTATAAAAGCGTATTTTGTTAGTTTTTTTAAACTATTATTTATTTTTTAGTCAGTCACTCTGCGAAATATTATTTAAGACTTTCGTTACGATGCTTTTCATGGATGTCACATACACATACATGACTTGTAATTTAAGTTTGTTTTCCTTACGTTCCTACTCTACCCTCCATATTCCTGCTGTACATGATGTCCCACAAAAGGTATATCAAGCTGATATCAAGCTATAATATCAACAATGTAGAGCACGTTAAAATTGTAAAAAAAAACTAATTCGTAATTAGTAGCTTCATACAAAAACTAATTTATTAATTGTTCAACTATTCGATGATGACCACTAATTTATACAACAAAAGTACGATTAGATTTGAACAGTTTCTGTTAAACGCTACGGAAAGAGGGTAGAGAGTAGAGTTAAGAGCTCCGGTAACTACTTAACACCAGGTGGGCCATGAGCTCGTCCACCCGTCTAAAAAAGAAAAAATTAAAAACTTTGTTATCTTTTGATATGTGGTCAGCCCTATTTTTTAATACGAATCACGTAATGGTACCTTGCGTAAAACACAATTCAAAGGTTGGCAGAGGAATACTTTTTTCGTTATGTTTAAGTACACTTTATTCCGAAACTAATTAGTCGTGAACATATTATTTTCGTCAAATCGCTTATTCTATTGAAACACAGTATCCAGTTTTTAGCTTGACATACTTTTTGTGGAGCACCCTGTATGTACCTAATGTAAATTTCAGATCCTAGAATGGTTCGGCGTGGCCTCAGTGTCATATCTAGCAGCGCTGCCCCTCGCACTCTGTGTGGAGCTCCCCGCCCAGCGACTGCACCGCGCACTCTCAGCACTCCGCCGCCGGTCACACGTCCAGTCGGATGTAGCACCGCACGATACGCGACAAAAGACTGACTTGTAGTTCATGCCGCAACCAATAACTTAACAACTATCAATACCTACCCTGTGGTTATAATTTTAACTGTTTAGCGACCTTCAAATAAGTACGTCAATAATGAGTTAACATTCGCTAAACTTCAGTGGAAAACATAATCATTGCGTGGCAATCTCAAAACACTAAAGTGCGCTCTACACTCTTGCCGAGACGTCTGGGCCAAATGTTTTGCCGAGACATGACGAGATCGAGAGCGGCCCTCCACATTCCCACTCACGCATGGCCCGTTCAGAACTCGTACAGGATGGACTTATTAGAAACTTCTACCTACTACAATTATATGTTAGTAAAAGAAAAAAAGTCATAAAGCGCCGTTTATTAAAAGGTTAACTCGAGATCGTGCGTCAATTTCGTTTATTGCCGACGGAATAATCGAAACTATTCGAGACGGGAGTGTGGAGTGGAGGGCTGTCTCGCGCAAACACAAAACTCTTTGATAGTATCAACATGAAACTGAGAGGCGAGACTACACAAATGTAGGCGAGACATGCCGAATAGGGCCTATAAACTTCTGTATTCGGCTAGTCTCGTGTAGTTTTACCTGGAATGAGTGCGCATAGCCAACAGCTATGGTTAATGGCATAAAATGGCGCGACTAAATGGTACTAAACCTTAACGGTGATATGCGTTGTGGGTTAGTGTTGTAGTATATTAAAGTTTTCCGAAATTGTAGTATTTTTAAATGTTAGTGGTGTTTTTACACTTTATTTTAAAATTATATATTTGTGTAATATTTACAGTAACACTTCAATGTAAGGTAAGGGACTTCCAGTAGAGACTGAGCGGTTTGGTTTGTGTACTCAGGCTTCGTTTTGCATTTGTCTCACGACTTCTTCAATTAACGCTATGCATTTACGGAACCTTCAGTTTTGCCGTGTAAGCTAGTTTCATTTGAAACCATTGCGTAGGACCACCGCAACAGCTTTGTATATGTAAACTTTCGAACGAAAATCACTCGTCGCACCGTATCCATAAATATATTATGGTCAGGTAGTCTTTAAAAATACACTTTTGCACACATCGGCGAAAGGCACCATGTACCCATTCATATGGATGGGAGAAAGGAATTCGAACATTTCGTCGGCATGTTATCTATATACCACGTCAAGGTTATGTGAAAGTGTAGTTTTCCGTAACAATGGGTTATTTTATTGACTTAAAGGAAGCCTGTGTCGCTCTCCTAACATACAATTATCACTTTAAAAAAATCATATCATTTCGTTGCTTCTTTTTGTCGTGAAAGAAGGGCAAACACTTTTGTATCAATAATATTAGGATGTATAAATAGGACGTGTTGCGATATATTATCGCGCCATGGCGCTAATGCTTTAACAAAATAATGTGTTAAATTAAAATCAATATAAACCATTGACTTTCTCTTAAAATGATTGAACTAATATTTTTAACTGTTACTAGTTTGAAATATCGGGTAGACATAAGAAGGGTTTGACAACTTTGATGATACAATTGATGTTTTAAAAATATTTTGTAAATTATATTAAAGTTGAGAAATATAACTAGGAACGCTCGATTTTTGCGGCCATCGAAATTTCCTACCGCAACAGTATCGCAACTTACACATCAACGAACATGCATTATTGTATAAATTTTATCTTGGCGAGTGGGGCCATCAACTTCATGCAATTTTAACCATTATTTACTTTACTGGTTACTGTACCCTGTGATCACTCAAGATTAACTGATTAACAGACAAATCTTTCAACAAAGTGGCTGATTCAGCACCCATCTGTCTAAAGCTGCATTTCACCAGCCCACCACCACGGTTCCTATTGCGTATTAGATTCAATAGAAGCGGAGGGGAATGTGTAACTAAAATTGGACAGCTCTGCAACAGCTGGTGCTGAGGTGCTGATGTGCAGTGTGAGCTTGTATGGTTAGACACCACTGTCCTGTGCGTCTGTACAGTGAAGCCGTCATGACTTCTATTATTATACTATCTCAGAAGCAGTAGTGGCCAGTGGAATTTGACTAATAATAATTATAGTTAGTTGACACTGCGTGTCTCATAAATAAAAACACTAGTTATTATCCAAATTGTTTTTTATTTGTTTTCAATCTTTTGATATTCACACCCACAACGACACATCCTATCACATATCTGCTGACAGTCTCAGTAAACTTGTTACACTGTTTGTAACTAATCTAAATTCGAACATAAAACATTCAAATTAAAAATATTTTGCATAAGAGGTTGTCGTGTCCTAAAGGATAAGATGCCGAGTTACACACATTTAACAAACATGCACAATTGTTGGTGGTAGGGAGGGATAGTGTGAGCCTGCAGGTTTTATGTTTGACCATTAAGACAGCATTTATCCATACAGTACAACTGGGACTTTGATCTCAAACCTCATGGTAGGTGCAGGCCTTCATAAAGTCTATAGGCTCCAGTTACAGTGCAAGAAAATTCAAAATTATATGGATAAAACATTGTCAGAACTGGGCCATTGGTTAAGTTTGGTTTGTACAAGGCAGTTTATAATAACTTTTTATATTTAATTACAATAGTCACCCCCGCATAAACCACACAAAGATATTTCCTCAAGCCAAAACAAGATTGAACTATTACCCATCATATGGACAAGATTTCTAGATTATTGGGACTGATATAAGGATAGAAAATAGAGATTAAACATTGTATTGATTGGGAGTCACAATAAGTCACCACAGGGTAGCATCAGTGTGTAGTGTCTATTTGATCAAATGGTCCATGAGACCTAAGGTGTGTAAAGCAGATTGAAGGGTGACCAAAATAAAAAAACAGAAAATCTGGAACGGGACCTTATTGTTACATTTGAGAACATAATAATAATCTTTGAACAAACAGTTGTTCTATTTCCAAAATTTGTATTTTTCTCACTTAGATATATCAATATATAAGAATGATAATGAAATAATTCCTTGACAATTGAAATATAAGACAAGTACAACTTAAGCTATCTAAAAAATATCTTAACGCTAGCGTCGAGATGGTCCTGACCCACCTTGCCAGCCTCCACGATGGCCCCCACCTCTTCCACCTGCTCGTCCTCGACCAGCAGCTGAAAATTTTAAAGATTTGTATTTTACTTCTTGATTCCTCTAGATGTGTGAGCAAGCTTACAACCCACTTGATTAATGATTTACTGTGGCCCACAAACATCAAAATAACGATGCTGGTTGGCATGATACTTGAGATGAGTATGATGAGATACATAATATATTTGATCGCTCAAATGTATTGTAGTTACTGTCCAGCCCGTCAAACCAATTCACATTCCTGTTTAGCAACAGAAATTTGCAGTAACTATTTTAATACACAAGTATGGGTTTTCACAAATATAATAGATACAGTTATTAGTTTGCATAGTATTATGTAAAATAGGTTTTACTTTAGATGTGCGAGATTTTGTGTATTGGGTACTTGACATGGTCTCATCATTCACATATTTTCTTTAACCACTGAAAGTAAAACTGTCAATATCAGATAGTTGAATGATCAGAAACAATAACATTGGAACAAAATACAGATTTGATATTACAAAACTTAAAATTGCAAATTTGACATTGTATGTCTATATAAGCACTCAAGAATGAAAAATTGTAAAATATTCTCAATTACTATTAAAAAACTGTGACAAAAAAATATACAGGATATAAACGAACAAGACATTTAACAAATCAAAGCTACAAATTACCTATTTTTTGCTCATTTGACCCAATTGATCACTATGTAATCATTGCATTTGTACTAATTTTAATGAAGGCTATTTATTGATTGTAATTAAATGTGCTTATCTTTCATACTTGCATACGTTTTCTACTTAGAAATTTTCGTTTAATAATTTGGTTATATAGTGCAGTAATTGTTAAATAGACTTCACTCAAGTCTAATTTATAACAAGCCTAAAGAAATGGGTTGTTCTAAGCTAAAGATGTTTATTCTTTTTTAAGTCTTTGAATTAAACGAAATTAAGAACAATGCATATTCACAATTTCAGTGCTAGATGTAATTAGAATGCAAGTCAGACAGCACTCATTCATATATTAACACTCGTATGTTGTCTTGTTGATAATGAACACAATCACTACGTATGTGATGCGAGAGAACATTTAGGATACCTAGCTCGATAAACAAATCACATACACACTATTTTTATATTGTTCAATACCTTGGGCTCGCAGTATCGCACTCTTCCCTCGTCCTGCAGTAGGTTTNGTAATTAGAATGCAAGTCAGACAGCACTCATTCATATATTAACACTCGTATGTTGTCTTGTTGATAATGAACACAATCACTACGTATGTGATGCGAGAGAACATTTAGGATACCTAGCTCGATAAACAAATCACATACACACTATTTTTATATTGTTCAATACCTTGGGCTCGCAGTATCGCACTCTTCCCTCGTCCTGCAGTAGGTTTATTCCCTTGTCTTTTGAACATTGGCGCGTTCTTCAACATGTCCGGTAATATTAAAAATCTGATCTTGGAACCACGGATGTACACATTCTCGAGCTGTGCAACTCGGCCATCTCTGTATGTGACTGTTACGAGAGTCATTTGGCAATTCATATTATCCTCAGCTTCAATTAATTTCCCTCTATAAACTTCACCGGTATTTGTTTCACAAGTCACTACATGACCTTCCGCCTCGTGAAGTACTTTAATAGGCACACCGATAGACATGTTTACGTTTTAGTTAAGAAAAACCTACGATAAAGGACAATAATTCAGTATTATTTCTTAGATTATTTACGATAAAAATGGGAAAGAATATTTCAAAAAAATTAGACGCTTCAAATCCATAGACATCTAATGTAATATGGCGGCGAGTTCCGTGCATAGACAATAGACATTTTTATTCGTTCATTGACAGACAAAGACAACATAACCCATACTACCAAAAATCCATTATGATTTTTAATTCCCTTAGTATCTGTGAAAATGAACTTTACTGGTGGTAGGAATGGTAGGATGTCTGCGAATCCACAGAGGCAGACAACACTACCCTACCTATTCCTGCCGTAAAGTAGTACTACCTTTCGGTTTGAAAATGCAAGAGCATCGCAGGGTATAACTATTGAGATTTTGCAAAAAGTTAAATGTAATCTTAGTTAATTCCAACCATTTTTCTAAATAAATTACATTTCACTGTACATAGCCTAATAGCCCTAATTTCATTTGTAAAAAAAGCTAGGTGCTTAGGCCTTATGCTATCTTTGCCTCATTTGCCTGTCAAAAAGACGAAACAAACGAAAGTCTGTTTCTCGGATTTGTAAACAAACCTCCGTATCACAATATCTTTTGATGCCGTGGTTAATAGTACTGTATTAAAACCTATTAGATGGTAACTATGGACGAGTTAAAGTTAGAAATTGTAGCGGACTCGTGCTGTGTGTGTGGAAATGTTAGCGACTTGCAGTCGCCAGAAGAATATGACACGGAAGCTCCACCGGGACAAACGCCGCTGAGGATGATGCTACTACATCTTAACAACAACAAGGTTAGCCTAGCCACTATTAGCATAATACTGCGGAATTTCAACAAAAAATCCATTGATTAGTATTTTCATTTAAGTTTATAACCTAGCAAGAATGATTACAAATTTCCTATTTCCCAACTCCTGCAACACAATATTTNAGAATATGACACGGAAGCTCCACCGGGACAAACGCCGCTGAGGATGATGCTACTACATCTTAACAACAACAAGGTTAGCCTAGCCACTATTAGCATAATACTGCGGAATTTCAACAAAAAATCCATTGATTAGTATTTTCATTTAAGTTTATAACCTAGCAAGAATGATTACAAATTTCCTATTTCCCAACTCCTGCAACACAATATTTGTGTTATTTATAAATATATGATTTCTGATTACTAATTCAAGCGTCTGAACTTTTTTGGGTAATGTATCAGGACATTTTTATAATCCATCGATCCACTCAATAATATAATATACTCTGCCTTTCTCCTCTAAATATCTTTTCTAAGATATTGCTTGCTGCCAGTAATGGTGTTTCATATAATAATAATAGGTTTAATTTGATCTAATCTATTTAAAAAATTTAACCTTACTTATTGGTTAGACATAAGTTAAACTCTAAACTTTTTAATTAAACTTTATATTCTTATTGACCTCAGGTAGTACCTGAAGGTCGACTGTGCTCAAGCTGTATCCAACGTACACTAGAAGCTTATGAATTCAGTACTGCACTCTCCTCAAGTGGAGTACCGCCTCTTAGTGAGAAGATCAGATCACTCAGGAGAAAGTATGTAAATCATTGATAAATCGGAGAATTTTATTGTAATGTATAATGTAATGTTTTCTATCAAATTGATATTGAAAATATCTTGCTTCTATACATAAAACTTATGTATAGAACTACTATAGAAAATAGTGAACTATTGTAGAACACTACTATAGAAACACAAACTGATAATTGGTGAAGTTTATAAATTTAGTTGACCTCTAATAGATGAACGAGCTTGTATATCTTCAAAGGTAAAACACCACAGTGTGAATACCACTACCCACCTTGAATGATATTCTCTACTATTTAATATGTCAATTTGCATTCACAGACTTCATGAACTCACACAGAAAATAGATGTCTTCATAGTAGTGGGAGGTTCTAGCTTAGCATCTGGAGGATGTTACAATGAAGAAGACATCATCATGGTTGACAAAGCAGCCTTGGCAGCTGCTGCTAAAGCTGATGATGAGGAGTTGGAAAGGGCCAGAAATGCAAGAGGAGATACTGTATATCAGTGTACAGTTTGTCCAGCTTCATTTCAAGTGAGACAACTGAATAGTATTAACACATCTTCAGTAGGAAACGCATAAACTAGTTGGTCACCATTGAAGCACAGGAGATGACAGGAAAAGTCTGAACAAAAGCATGAAACAGCCAAAGTACTGTGATTATCTGTGGCTGGTGGAACACAGAACTAATAACTGTGAAATAACTGAAACTAATAATTGTAAAATAATTGTGAAATGTATTCTTGCAGCGTGTGAGCGAGTACCGCACTCACGTGGAGTCTCACGGCAGGGCAGCGTCACACGCGTGCTGGACGTGCGGGGCACAGTTCGCGACGCGCACCGCTCTTCACGATCATCTGGCTTCTCACGCCGATACCACTGACAACACTTGCTATGTCTGCGGGACTACATTCCAGGTTAATTTAAATATCGGGAATTGTGACTGTTGGTCACATCCTGTTAACGTATGTAAGGTAGACGTAGGTAGGTCTATGATATTATAGTATTGCCTGTGCTCAAAATTCTACCAAATGTTTGTAAAGAAACTAAATTCTGTGTGTGCTTAGTGCGAGTTTTTTGACTTCTCGATCACATAAAAGTTAACTCAAATTTGTATATAGTTGGAATAGCTTCCCCTCGTTTGCCGCTAGGAGCGCTGTTCCAACTCCATACAAATTTGAGTTTAAATTATATTTTAGAGAAGCATAAACAACAAACGAAATAACATTTAAGGCTCTAAATATTTGTGTATAGAGAGGTCATTTGTAATAATATTTTAATTTAAATTTTATTGTAATCATAATATATCATATTCTTGAGTTTAACGTCCATTTTGAATCTATCTAGGATTTTATTCGTTATCACGGGAGCGTTATCACGGAAGCGTGTGCGTGGTTGCAGCGGCAGTCGGAGCTGCGTCGGCACGAGGCGGCGTGCGCGTGCCGGTGCCCGTCGTGCGGCGCCGAGCTGGCGGACCGCGCGGCGCTGTCGGCGCACGCGGCGGCGGCGCACGGCGTGACGTCACGCGGCCGCCCGCTGTGCCCGTGCTGCTTCCGCTCCTTCCCGGACGGGGAGCTGCTGGCCGCCCACCTGCTGCGGCACCGGCAGGCCAAGCAGTTCGTCTGCGGATACGACTCGTGCATCCTTCGGTTTGCGGCCAGGTATGTCATATTGAGGGTAGGTTTCAATTTATTTACACTCATCACTCACTGCTAACATTTGAAAAAAAATGCTAAATTTCTATTTAGTATGAAAAAATTAATCTAATTTTTTTATAAAATTTATATTATTTCCACTACCGTCTTTAATTCATCGATGTTGACTTTTGTTTTGGGGCGAACACGGGGTTCATTTATTAGATCAAAATTTCACACCTCAGTAATGTTGTGAACCGTTTGTGTAGTCATGTTACCGCCACGAATTTCATACTGCTTAATTACTTGGTATTTTTATTGTGACCATTTTGATATAGCAAAAATAAAAAAGGTTAATTAATCATTAAACAAATGACTGAATTAGCAAATATAATTTCATATTTTTAAAATAAAATTTATTTATATTTAGAATGAATTCCCAGTCATGCATAAGTATAATAAGGTATCAAACGGTCAACTGCACGTATGCTAAGACGTATGATGGCGTGCAGGAGCAGCCTGCTGGCGCACGTCCGCAAGTGCCACGGCGCCGAGCTGCCGGCCGAGCCCGCGCCGCCCCGCCCGCCCGGCGCCGCGTGCCGCCACTGCAGCCGCACGTACGTACTGTCCCGCACACTTGTATTCCACCAATCTTATCTCGAAATGACAGTTACTATTGCGGTCTCAATAAAAAACAACTTTACTTAAAGACATGTTAAACACGTTTTTCAGGTTCGGTTCCGTGGCGGCCATGAAACGTCACGCGCGCGTGCACCGCGACGACCGCGCCTCCCCGGACCTGAAGGTACGCCCCCCAACCCGCGCCCCCCGCGATCTGAGTGGCGTCGGAGCAGCTTATATACCAAACTGTTCACAGGACGAGTTGGGTGCCGAGTCCCAGGAGGAGGGCGACGAAGGCGAGGTGGAGTACCTCGAAGTGGAGACCCTGGAGGACGGAGAGGTCGACGAGAGTGTGCAGTGACACCAGGCTCCAGGCGGACACTTCAGAAGGTGCGCACCGCTCTTGGCCTACAGTTCTCAATCAATGAAACTGATTGCTGTAAATTGTTGAATGAATGTAATAAAAATAAATGCAACAACAGTAACAAGTATATTTATTGGAACAACAACCAGACATATCAATAATATACTGTATATAAATAACAACACATTTCCATAACAGATAACTGTGCAGAAAATCCCAAGGATTTAGGTTCGTTTGTAGCTAATCTTCATTTTTTATCCACTGGTTCACCAGGATCAAACATGTCCTAAACGCGCTCCTTGCAGCAGGCGCGGTTTCAGAAATGGAAAGCTAGAATATTGATTCCTGACTCTGCACCCAGTCAGGAAAAAGCCAACGAAAATTATTATACTAGTATATTACTTGCGTACTTAAATAAAAAACCTTTATTTTAAAAATGAACAACAAAAAACATTAGGTTATTGACCCTGGTGTTTTGTCGGCTTTACATCGTCCGTTCACTATTTATTAAATGACTAAGGATATGTATGTATGTATGTATGAGTGGTTGGACTGCGCTCAGCTAGAGGGCTCGGGGCGGGCGCGGCACAGCACGGCGACGCGGCGGCGGCGCGGCACGGGGCGGTGGCGCCACTGGCTGCGCTCGCCGCCCAGGACCGCGTGCGTGAACTCATAGCGAGCCACGCCTCTGTCGATTCCATATAAATACATTCTTTGTTTGCTAAACCAAAATTTATGTGTAATTGCTGTGAAAAAGTCCATGAAGGCATTACAAAATCATTATTACTAGAAAGAGAGGGCAGACAGTGCATCCTATTGATGGGGGTGGCTTCTATAGAATCGACATAAATACGTGATTCCAGTGTGTGTAACTGTTCGTTCCTTTTGCTGAGGTGCCCAGTCCTACTACTAGGGCTAATGACAATCCGGAGACGGAGCACGTTGCCAGAATTGGCGAGCTAATGAAGAGTTATCATCACTCCGGGAACTGTGCTTTTTGGTTGCTCGTCAAAGTTTTAGAGAGAAACTTTTATTGATCTGGTCTGCGCAAGTTCGATGACAGCCTGACCCACATTGCGAAAAAGAAGGCTCGAACTCGACTATTGATGACAGGAGAACCACGCCACGAAGCATCCCCCGGTCTCATATATTATGTCTGTCGGAGACCTGCTTCACAGTGTACGGTCAAGCGGGAGCTTTCGCTCCTGGACGTCCATGGGTCTAATGGACCAGATTGCATCCATGCAGTGGTTTTGAAAACGTGCGTAAGAGCCGATACCTGTACTAATGCGTTTGTATCGCCTCTCTCCTTAGCATTACCTGGGTTCCATTTTCATTGAACATCGCCATGTACAGCCTATCCCCAAGAAGGGTGCTGACAGTTCGGACCCATCGAGTTATAGGCTCATCATGAAATTTCCTTAGTTTCCAAGGTGATGGAGCGGATAATAAATACGCAACTCCTGAGGTATCTTGAGGATCGCCAGCTAATCAGTGACCGACTGTACGGTTTGCGTCACGGTCTCTCAGCTGGCAATCTTCTGGTACTACCTTACTAACAGGTGGGCTGAAGCCGTGGAGGGCAAGGCTCTCGTCTTGATATCGTGAAGGCTTTTGACAAGGTCTGGCATAGGCACTTTTGTCAAAGTTATTAGCTTACGGAAGCTGCTGCTCCGATACCATGACGATTAATGTTAGCGTTCTACAAGGTTCAGTGCTTTCCTTCCATTCTTTTCATCCTGTATATCAATGACATGCTATCTGTTGATGGCATGCACTGCTATGTGGATGGCAGCACGGAGTCTCTCGGAGCGTGGTGCAGGAGAGACGATCGAAGCTTGTGTCTAAAGTACAGAACTCCCTGGGGCGAGTCTCCAAGTGGTGTGAGGCGGTGATGACACGGGTTTGTAGGCTTACTGCGGAGAAGGACCTTTTTGTCATGGTGCCGCAATTCTAACGAGTATCCCTACAAGCTTCCACCAGTTTTGGGATATTTGGGGTCGATATTTCCGGCGATGCACAGTCAAGTAAGCATGAAAATTCTGGGAATCCTTAACAAGCGTGTCGGTACTTCACGCCTGGACAAATATTGTTGCTTTACAAAGTACAAGTCCGGCTTCGCGTTAGTACTGCTCTGGGCCGGGGCTCCCAAATACTAGCTACTTTTACAGCGTTTTTACGAACGTACTTTCAGTCACCAGAGTAGAGTTTTTACTGCCTGGAACCGTTGCGTTCATCTACAGTGCGTTTCCAGAGATATTTTCTCCAAACGAGGCTTATGAAGAGTACTCAGCGGTAGGCACCGGCTTGACCCCTAGTATTGCTGACGTCCATCAGCCACGGTAACAACCCATTATCAGGTGAGTCGTATACTCGTCTATCTATCTACGTGAACGATCACAGAGACACTACTTACTTCATGACGTAGAGCGCCCGGCGCTCGAGCAGCGCGTGCAGGGCGAGGGCCGGCTCGTGCTGGTGCTCCAGGCGCATGACGGCGCTGGAGCACAGGCACACGCCCGCTATCACGTCGCCGCAGAACTGCAACACGTCGCCGTCCTCAACGACCTGGCGCGGCAGACTTCCCCTGAACTAATCAGGGGCCTACGCCGCGACTACAACCAGACAAGTCGTCGTGGCCTAAAGGATAAGACGTCCGATGCATTCGTGTTGAGTGATGCATCGGTGTTCGAATCCCAGGCGGGTACCAATTTTTCTAATGAAATACGTACTCAACAAATGTTCACGATTGACTTCCACGGTGAAGGAACAACATCGTGTAAAAAAATCAAACCCGCAAAATTATAATTTGCGTAATTACTGGTGGTAGGACCTCTTGTGAGTCCGCACGGGTAGGTACCACCACCCTGCCTATTTCTGCCGTGAAGCAGTAATGCGTTTCGGTTTAAAGGGTGGGGCAGCCCTTGTAATTATACTAATTAATACCTTAGAACTCATATCTCAAGGTGGGTGGCGCATTTACGTTGTAGATGTCTATGGGCTCCAGTAACCACTTCACTCCAGGTGGACCGTGAGCTCGTCCACCCATCTAACCAATAATAAAAAACATGCAAATTACTAATGACTGCCGAAGGTCGGAAAATGTTCTAGACCTAACAATGCATTGATGTGTCCCAAAAACGATTCCAAGATGCCTCCAAAGAACTGGATTGAAATACCCCACAGATACAGCCAGCCGTCTCAACTGCTCCACGACTCGCGTCATTTCTAACTGTGGGGCGAGCTCTGCCAACTCTACATTGCTGTATAAATACTACATAAACTACGAAAATGACGATTGTGTCTGTACTTACTCGGACAGCGTCAATATGCGGCTTTATGAACCCAGCTGCGGCCAGGTCCAAGACGTGCACATGCGGTAGTGTGTCGGTTGTGAAGGCTAACGCTTTAACGCGGTCCAGTATGACTTGGTTCTCTGGCTTGAACTGGCTGCGTTCCGTCTCTCTGAAGCCTTGAATGGCCTAGAGAAGCGTAAGGTACATTTTTACAAAAACAACTGTTAATATTAGCCGCGCTTTTCCTGCTGCCGCCACTGACCCGGCGAGGCGAAGTCACCCTGCGAGGTCGGGCTGCTTGTTGGTGGTTGTTGCTGATGCTCACAGACGCTCAGAACCGGAGCCCAGAAAAGAAATTCACCACGCACCTTGCGGCATGAGATCTAAATCTCAGTTGTATTATATCACAGCTGTTGTCTCATATTCCTAAGTCAGAACAAATAACAGCTTCACGTCAGACATTTGCAGGATGGTGCTATATACCTGTTCAAGCTTACCATACGCCCTACCACTCTACTATACTATCTCTGCTAAATGTTGAAAGCAGTTCGCTTGTGTAAAAAAAAACAAGACTTGTGTCCCACAAATAGTCACTCTGTTGCAAGGTTTTGTTTAATGCAATTGATTCCCCATGCATAAATCTTTAACATGATTAGTTTCTAAGTTGGAGGAACATATTTAGGTTGCAAGTCACAATTGTAATTTTGACAATATCTCTGTTCTTTTTATCAGTAAAAACTGTTTTTTGTTTGAGTTAACTGCATTAATATAAAGATATAGTAAAATCAAATTACATCATCCCAATGATCAAATTCATATCTCATTCTCTTAAGGTACGGTTCTAATTCAGCCAGCAATGATGCCTCTTCTTCTTCAGTGACGAAGCCTGGGTACACTTGCATATCCTGGAGTATGGCAGCTCGTAGCTCAGGCTTGATATCTGTGCCCCACGTTGGAGATATTTCAATGTAATTGGGATCTCCTGTAATTACCAGGAAATGTTTTAATTTTAATTTAAGCTAACAGGCAGAAGCTAAATAGACTACTTTTTTGTTGACGGAGCGATGGCTATACCTAGGAGGCCTTACTAATTTCACCAGGACGAGTAAGGGAGCTGGTATGGGGTGAATAGTGGGCGAAGATCAGCAAGTATGGGGTTTTGGTTCTGTAATAAGTTCGATTTGCTGTCATTGTAAATGGAACCCATTTAGAGCTTATACTTATTAAATTTTAAATAGATAAGATAAGTAAATACCTATTACGCGAATAATTCGTTAATACAAAACTGGATCGAACACAATTCCGGATACGTTTTGAATTTTTGATAAAAAGAAACATCAACAATTTAACACAGTAATTTACTACAAAATTTGATAAATAACAATAATATTTAAGCATTTTGGTTCATCGGCTGAAACATAAAAATTTACAAATTATTTGTTTACCTTTAAGTTGTGGAATTTTGGGTTCAGTCTGTGTTACTCTACTATATTTTCTCGGTTTCCCATTGAAAAATGATTTCAATGTGCAATTTTTTAAGAAACTAAAAGTAAGCAAACGCATTTTTGCATATGTTACCTATCTATTTTCCCAATTTCCATCAATTTAATTTCCATCCTTCAAAACTTCAAACTGCTTAATTTTTAAGGCCATTTTACGACCTGGTCACTAAGACCTTTAAGCCATGTCTAATTTTAATTAATATTCTTATTTTTATGAAAAATGATAATATCGAGTGAAATTAAATGAAGATCATTAATTTGAGACATTAATCAACTGGGATGATATTAAATGAAATGAGATGATATGGACTGAAATATAAATCTTAGTAAAATGGTGGTTATTTACTGAGATTTTTTCAGTGGACTTTTTGGAGTCTCCAGAGTAATTACGTCCAGCGGCTTTGTTTCATTTTCCCACATTTGTGCACTTTCACAGATATTAAACAGTTAATAAACCATCGTTATTACACATTTAACCCTGAAGAAACACTAATGAGACAAAATAAAACAAATCACACAACTTCACTCCTCGCGTTCCCGCCAAAACGTGCCATATTGTTTGATTAATAGGTATGTACATATAGTTCCATTTTTCAACAGGAAAGACGAAAGTATCACACCGTACAGCCTAGTTTTTTATAAATTCTGTTAATTAAAAAATAGGAGTGAAAATGACATGAAATGAATGATTTAAGCTTTGTAACTTCAAATTTGATAAAATTGTAGTCATTTTGTCATGTTCACGAGTGATTATTTGGCCATCTATTATTAAATCTTTACAATATCACGGTCACCATGTCATGTGGCCTCCTCGAAAACCAAGGAAAACGTTTCTCCGTTCAATAGAACTGTATCAGACAGGTCTATCTATGGTAAGGCTGGTAATGAACCTGGCCATATCTGCGGCGATCTGTGTATCAAGCTGCCTGCCCACTACAAGATAGTTCATGGGCTGTTTACATTTCGAGGATGCCAATTACGAATTACCTAATTGAAACGATTTAAAAAATCAAAGGCGGTCTAAGTGAACAGCAGAACATGCAGCAAAACGTATAATTAATGGTTTTTTTAATTGTCATTTTTAATTATGTAATACGTATGAATAGCTTACACTGACTACTGGGAATCTTTGAAAGTCAACGTGTGTTAATTTGAGAATGCGATGTCATGTCTAAAGGCTGACTGCGGTATTCATGTATCTAATAAGTGACTCTAATAAGTCCCCAAGTCGAGGGGGGCCGCCATGGCGCCGAGGGCGTTTGTTTTCTGGTTCAGAGAGCTCTGTCTCAGCGGGGAGTAAGGTGGCGGCAAGGGCGATATAGCACGTTCGGATATTTGGTTCCGCTATATGTTAAAAAAAATCTACCACCATCAGATATGTTGAAAACAAAAGGTGGGTGGTAACAGTCATCCTTCGAAAGTTGATCGCTGCTTGTACATAATTTGATAATATTGGTAATGTGATTGAGGACTAAGTTCAAGACCTTGCCGTCACTGTTGAGGTGTGGTTATATTACTGTAATTTATTCATCGAGCAAAAATCAAGAAGTAGGTATATTAGGCAATAGGTGATTTTTTATTTTATTGCTTAGATGGGTGGACGACCTCACAGCCCACCTGTGTTAAGTGGTTACTGGAGCCCATAGACATCTACAACGTAAATGCATCACCCACCTTGAGATATAAGTTCCAAGGTCTCAATATAGTTACAACGGCCAACAGTACCAACACATCATCACACATCTATGCATTATTAGGTCTAGAAGACACTGTCCGACCGTCCGACAGCAATAGTAATTAGCATGTAGTTTCGTAATCAGGCTACACTAAGTACTGACCCACGTCATCACGGAGCTCCACCTGTACGTTACGTACATAGGCCTTTTAATGTGTAAAATTTAATACTTTTTACTTTTTGTTGAATTGACTCGGTATTGTTAGGCTGCCTCCGCGTTAGTAGAGAGCACAGCGGCATCATTTTTTTTTTATTGCTTAAATAGGTGGACGAGCTCACAGCCCACCTGGTGTTAAGTGGTTACTGAAGCCTATAGACATATACAACGTAAATGCGCCACCCACCTTGAGATATAAGTTCTAAGATCTCAGTATAGTTACAACGGCTACCCTACCCTTCAGACCGAAGCGCATTACTGCTTCACGGCAGAAATAGGTAGGGCGGTGGTACCTACCCGCGCGGACTCACAAGAGGTCCTACCACCAAGACTCTATTGGAATTACCCAAAAAGTCTTCAAGAACTTCCTGCCTAAGGGGTGAGCGGAGGTAAACTGCATAACTCCCCATCGCGTCTGTAAGCTACATATCTATCCTCTTCGATCAACAATAGTAAACAAGTAATACAAACAAGTTACAATTGTTGATCGAAGTCTATCCTCAAACAATTCAGAATCGAAGACGCTACCATCACACCATGTCTCAGTAATCACGACCATGTCGTAATTATCACAAGAAACCCTGCTAAAAAAATCAGAAGTTTTGATTCTCAATCCACGTACATTTTGGTAGTAAATTTTGTATCATTAAAATATATATAATAATAATATGTATGTATGTATAATACACTCGAATGCAAAAAAAAGAAGAAAAAAAAATGGATTAAATAAGTGACAAATAAAAAACAAAGTATAAAATAAATTGGGAATTAATAAATTATTAAACACGAAACTATTAAGCAAAGCTGAGCTGAATGCCAAGCGATTGATCACTAACTTAGCGACTTCAAAGTTTCCTCACTGCGAGCGTGCGCGTACCTCGTAGTTTCGCTCTTTCTGAGGAAGACTTTCCCGTCCCGGACACAGACGAATTTATAATTCAGTTGGTGCGCCACGCGCCGCCCGCGGCATGAAGCCGTTTAGTTTCTGGCGTGAGGTGCTCGGTTACGTAGATGGGATTCTTCTTATTGCCTCCGATATCAAGTATTGAGCTTATCTTTAGGGCTGTTACAGTTGTACTTGATTACCGACGCCAAAAAATTGTCGCGCAGACGCCTGCTACCAAATTTCACTACGGTCCCGGGAACCTTTTTTTTTTCGGGCCAGGGCCTAACCTCCTACGAGGTCCCCGCGCCTAGGAGGCGTGCGGGGTATGTGGGACCTGACGATCTGCAAGGTGTTGGGAGCAGATCGCGGGCTCAAGGAATTTTAGGGCCCTGCCCACTAAACGACTTCCCTGCACTCTTCGCACAAGCGTCCGATCCCCGCGGTAAACACTACAACCAGACAGCGCAGCTCGTCCCAAGGACGCCCTGCCGACGGAGCCTTCGAAGCGAATCGAAGGCTCTGAAACGCTGGCCGTCTCGGTACGGCAGCCCGTCAAGCCGCCCAGACGGTCCCACTGGTGTCCCGCTGGATCAGAACCAGCCTGCCGGGTCGAGACGCGATACACCGCCAACCGGTCGCTCTATATACTCCTCTGCAGCGCGCTAGAGTGCTGGTAGCGCGCCGCGCGGCCTCTACCCCCTCAGGTCGCCCCTTGACCTTCACCGGCGAGAAGCCGCCACCTACAGGGGCCGAGACGTACGGGCGTTTTCCTTCCTCCGGTTCCCGGCTCGACGGCGACGGATCAGTGCGGAAAGGGATGAGCTCTCCCTCTCTCGTTCCGCCGTCTCCTTCTGCGATATGGTGGACTCGCAGAAGTCGAGCATCGCCTTCGAACTCGACCTAGATCGGGGACTTTTTTGTTAAGTTTGGCAATTCTAGAGCAGTACTAAATGTCAGGATCGGTCACTGGGCAGTTGATAATTTTACTCAACTGTTGAATGGTGTTCTGTTAATTTTCATCCTTGTGTTTTGGTACACACAGTGCACTTCCAAATTGTTAGAGTGCGAAAGATTTTCCAGCACGTGCAGGCGAAGAGACAGATCTTGGGACGTAGTTCGAAGTTTCTCGTTGTTTTTTTGAAGCACTGTAATTAGAGCCCTGTGTGATTCGTTTTCTTCCCTGAGTAAATCGTTCTGTGTGCGATTCGCGAGAGAGCTGTGAGAGATTCCTCGAAGCCTATAAGTTTTAACTGAATGGCATTCAGCTGAGAGTTGAGCTTTCTATCGAGTTCCTGTCTTATTATTTCGCGAATACTTTCAGCAGAGACACAGGTACAGCCGCTGTGCGGTCGCGTGCGTATGGTAACGTTGTCGAACTCAAATGCCGGGGCGTCGCGCTATGGTTGATATACCACTCCCGAGTCCTGTCTTTGGGTCGAGGTTCCGGTGCAGCGGACTGGTGTGTTTGTATTATCATCGGACTTCGGCTCCTTGCACTTACATGATGGACACACCCACGTTTCCCTCAACTCTTTAGATAAGGTGTAATCTTGCCTACTAAAATTAATGAAGGTATAGTGGTATTTGTCCTCACAGCGACAACAATACATAAATGACAGTCTTTTCAAAATACTAGTGGTCCCGCAGTACCTAGTCGAAACTATAATTAATTGAAATTATAAGTTTCAACATTATTATGGTTCTATTGTCAAAGACTATATTATACTTCAACAACCACAGATTTCGCCAAGACTGCACTTTAGACAAATATTAATAAAGACAAACAATAATAATCTATTCTCAATTTGACCACACACTTTAAGCAATAAGAAAATAGAGCAAGAGCCCGCGACAGCCAGACCTTCGTTATTTTATAAAAGCTGAAAGATTCTCTGTGTATGTCTCCAACACAGGTAAGAACGACCCGCGATTATAGAGTTTCGATTGTGGTTACTTGGGCAGGTAACACGCAGTAAAGGTATATAAAATAGTACCTTAAATTCGTTAAAGTATAAAGGTTTTTTTTTTAATATTTACTCCAGAATATCTTTAGAAATCACGATATCCGTTGCCGGACACTTTTTCCAGTTGTTACCCCCTGCCAGACACCCCTAAACTTTAATAAATTTTAATTATACTTTCGTTATACTATAAAAGCTAAATTTTATATANGTTTCTGCGTAGTGAGGAGAGCTTTCCCTCACTCGCCCCGCCGCCTCCTTCTGCGAGATGGTGCACTCGCAGAAGTCGAGCATAGCCTTCCATGACTCATCGCTGCCAAGCATCGACGCCACGACGCCAGGCAGCGACAAGTCAGGTCCTATCTTTG